GATACCCAACATCCACAATGACGGCGAAACAACTAGTAGCTCAGTGTTCCAACATTCGAAAGAAGGGACTGCTCTCACAGCTAGAGATTGACGAGGTACAACACAAATGCTACGGCAAGGAGGAGTCAGGACGCCAGGTCAGGGGGGAGATATCATCACCCCTACCCGAGATTGGGTACATAGCCCCAAGTGCGATAGAAGGATCGTTGAGTGCGAGAGGAACTGACCTGAAAAATAGGATAATGGCCAAGCTTGAAACCTGGATACCCCGTAGCCGGTTACCAAGATTACGTGAAGTACCCTCAGAAGGTCTGCTAGATGATGTTAATGCAGCACTACGGGCAATACCTACAACCACGATTACCGACACTAACAAGCTGATCTACAATACGGCAGCAGTGATCAGTGAGATGCTTGGCTACAAGTTGAACAGCCACAAGGGGCAGTACCCTCCATGGAGAAGGAGGCTAGAGGGCAAGATCAAAGTAGCACGGAGGGAGGTTAGCCAACTAACGGAGTTGCAGAAAGGTGCGACAAAGAAGGTGCATAAGAAATACAGCAAACTGTCCATACCTGAGGATGGACAGCCAAGCAAAGACTCACAGCCTTGGCCAGCCGCTTGAGGAGGTACACCAGAGAGATAGAAGGCAGGAGAATAAACCAGCTGTTCTCCACAGAACCAGCAAAGGTGTACTCTCAGTGGCAAGGGAACAGCACCACCAAGGCTGGAGACGGAGCAATACTGGAAGAGCATATGGGAGAAGGACGCAACCCATAACGGCAATGCTCAGGGGCTAGTGGATCTGAGGGCAGACCACAGCGACCTCCCTGAACAGGGTCCAGTAACCATCACAGTGGCAGATATCCAAGAAAGGGTCTCCAGTATGAAGAGTTGGACAGCACCAGGGCCCGACATGGTTCACGCCTACTGGCTAAAGAAGCTGACTGCACTCCACGAGCGTCTGGCAGCACAAATGAACCAGCTGCTAGTTAACGAGAGACACCTGGAATGGCTAACCGAAGGTCGGACGGTCCTGATCCCCAAGGACCCCAAGAAGGGACCGGTCCCCTCCAACTACCGACCAATAACCTGCCTCAGTACTACATGGAAGCTCCTGTCAGGCATCATATCGGCTAGGATGAACAGGCACATGGGTCAATACATGAGTGGGACACAGAAAGGAATTGGCAAGAATACCAGAGGCGCAAAACACCAGCTACTGGTAGACAGAACAGTCAGCCGAGACTGCAAGACCAGACTGACCAACCTGTGCACTGCCTGGATTGATTACAAGAAGGCCTATGACTCAATGCCCCACAGCTGGATACTGGAATGCCTAGAATTGTACAAGATCAATGGGACCCTAAGAGCCTTCATCAGGAACTCAATGGGGATGTGGCGTACAACACTAGAGGCCAACTCCAAGCCCATAGCACAAGTCACCATCAAGTGCGGGATCTACCAAGGAGATGCTCTGTCCCCACTGCTGTTCTGCATAGGCCTGAACCCCCTCAGTGAGATCATTAACAAGACTGGCTACAGATACCGACTACGGAACGGAGCAGTTGTCAGCCACCTCCTGTACATGGATGACATCAAGCTGTATTCCAAGAGTGAACGAGACATCGATTCACTGATCCACACTACCAGGCTATACAGCAATGACATTGGAATGTCGTTCGGACTGGAGAAGTGTAGTAGGATGGTAACAAAGAGAGGGAAGGTAGTCAGAACTGAGGGGATTGAACTATCAGAAGGCAACATTGCAGACATAGAGGACAGTTACAAGTACCTGGGGATCCCGCAGGCAAATGGGAACCATGAAGAGGCCGCTAGAAAGGCTGCAACCACCAAGTACCTGCAGAGGGTCAGGCAAGTCCTGAGGAGTCAGCTGAATGGTAAGAACAAGATCCGGGCCATCAACACGTACGCCCTGCCCGTGATCAGGTACCCTGCTGGGGTAATAGGCTGGCCAAAGGAGGAGATAGAAGCCACTGACATAAAGACAAGAAAGCTCCTTACCATGCATGGAGGGTTTCACCCCAAGTCCAGCACCCTGAGGCTGTACGCTAAGCGGAAGGAAGGGGGCCGGGGACTGGAGAGTGTCAGCACCATAGTCCAGGATGAGACAACGAACATCCAAGAATACATTGGGAAGATGGCCCCAACTGACCGAGTGCTCAGTGAATACCTCAGGCAGCAGAAACCCAAGAAAGAGGAGGGAGACGAGGAACCATCATGGAAGGACAGGCCCCTGCACGGTATGTACCACCGGCAGATAGAGGAGGTGGCTGATATCCAGAAATCCTACCAGTGGCTGGACAAAGCTGGACTGAAAGACAGCACAGAGGCACTAATCATGGCAGCACAAGAACAAGCTCTGAGTACAAGATCCATAGAGGCTGGGGTCTATCACACCAGGCAAGACCCCAGGTGCAGGCTGTGTAAAGATGCCCCAGAGACAATCCAGCACATAACAGCAGGGTGCAAGATGCTAGCAGGCAAGGCATACATGGAACGCCATAACCAAGTGGCCGGCATAGTGTACAGGAACATCTGTGCCGAGTATAACCTGGAAGTCCCGAGGTCAAAATGGGAGATGCCCCCAAGGGTGGTGGAGAATGACCGAGCTAAGATCCTGTGGGACTTCCAGATACAGACGGACAAAATGGTGGTGGCTAACCAACCGGACATAGTGGTGGTAGACAAACAGAAGAAGACGGCCGTAGTGATCGATGTAGCGGTTCCGAATGACAGCAATATCAGGAAGAAGGAACACGAGAAGCTGGAGAAATACCAAGGGCTCAGAGAAGAGCTCGAGAGGATGTGGAGGGTGAAGGTAACGGTGGTCCCCGTGGTAATCGGAGCACTAGGTGCGGTGACTCCCAAGCTAGGCGAGTGGCTCCAGCATATCCCGGGAATAACATCGGAGATCTCTGTCCAGAAGAGCGCAGTCCTGGGAACAGCTAAGATACTGCGCAGGACCCTCAAGCTCCCAGGCCTCTGGTAGAGGACCCGAGCTTGAAGGATAAACCGCCCGCAGGGGCGTGCTGGGTGTTTTATATATATATATACATATACATACACACACACACACACACACACACACACACACACACATATATATACACACACACACACACACACACACACCTGACTTTCAGCTTGTTGTGTTTGTGGATATATGACTGACTTGAATTATTAAACATTCGCACATAAATAAGTGACGTCATATTCAGTACTTTTGACAGTTCACTCTTCGGCCGCTCCATCTTATTAGGGAAATTCCATATACATAAATGTAAATTTCAAAACTCAACCCCATCATTTGTTTTTGATTGAAGCTGAATATTACTTAAACTCTCTTAAATTAACTTCCAATAAAAAAAGGTTTATCATTGATTGAAATTCATTCAGAAATGTTTAACGAATGACCTGTCACAACTTTCAAGTACAAAGTTGTTATGAAGTCTGTCACATCCCCCCCCCCCCTTTTGTTCTTTTTTTTTATCCTTTATTTATCCTTCTTATTTCATTGTACTGTATATTGTTACTCTTATTTCCCTTGTATGTCTACTGTACAAACTGAACTGGAATGACTGACTGTTCGCTTTATAAGCAGTGTTGGGGAGGTTACTTTTAAAATGTATTCCGTTACAGAATACAGAATACATGCCCCAAAATGTATTCTGTAACGTATTCCGTTACGTTACTCAATGAGAGTAACGTATTCTGAATACTTTGGATTACTTAATATATTATCGTGCTTTTTACAACAACGTGAATGTACTATTGCTGTGTGATTTATTACTATTACTGAAGGTCCGCGACTCCGAACTGTAGTAAAGGGACCTCTGACTAATACGGCGGGGTCCCTGTCGGCTCGTAGCCGAAAAATAGCTTTACTTTGTTGTGTGGGTCAATTTTTCTTGCGAGAGACAAAGAGAGGCGTTGAAAGACTGCTCCAACGGAACTTATTGTTTTCGGAGGAAAACACGAACACAGTGTACAGTCGAGTCTTAATAGCTTACTTACAGCTGGGCTCGTCAGGCACTCTTCTTGGCTGCAGTGGTTATTATTATATTTACATGCTTCCAGCTCCCGTTTTTCCTCGACGACAACTCGTACCTTTCCACTCTCCTTTTTCTCCCTCCTCGCGCTCACAGACACATAACGTGTATGGCAGTGCATTCTCCCTGCAGCACGGACTACACTGGCCATGATGCTACATTCTTTAGAGCTATGCTTGTAGCATTCTGCCTGTTAGCTTAGCACAACAACAACAACGAAAAGGCGCTCTCTCACCCAGGAACCACACAGTCGCAGAGAGAGAGAGAGTGTCGCCCTGTAACCATGGCAACCGTAACGCTGCCGCCTGGAACAACAGAACGTAGCTGTCAAACAAAACCCAAACAGTCCTGACCCGCGACAAAATGAAACAGGAAAGTACCGCAGTGTAATCCATTTATTTCAACAAAGTAACTGTATTCTGAATACCACCTTTTTAAACGGTAACTGTAACGGAATACAGTTACTCATATTTTGTATTTTAAATACGTAACGGCGGTACATGTATTCCGTTACTCCCCAACACTGTTTATAAGTTCAATAAAGTTTGGAGAAAGAAAAAAATAAAAATAAAACCCTCTTCAGCCGCTCCCTTCTGCCGTATTTTGCGGCAAAATTATCCACACCCACCGCCGCGCTATGAATTGTGGGATATATGGGACCACGAAGCGTGCACCGGACCACGCTTGATATTTGGGGAAATCGACGGCGCATTTGGAGTATGCATTTGAAGCACACTTCGAATTGGGACAGCCGTCGTCGCGTGGCGGTGACGTAACCGCACTTGAAATGCGTGCTTCAAGCGTGCAGACCCTGAATTGGGACACAGCCATCATGTTTTTCTGTTCACAACTTGAAGGCGTCATGGAGCATTTCCTGATTTCCATAAAGGTTTGAGCTGGTGCAAAACTGAAGTAGTTTAAGCCCTTACCTCTGACTTCATCCCACAGGTGTGTTTCGTCTGTTACAGGTGGCTTTCAAGTCGTCAGCAGGTGGCCCTAAACACTAAAATAAAAACATAATTAATAATGTCGTCAATCATTCATCATTGGAACAACAGTGATGTGTTGAGTTAAGGCAACATAAACATGTTAACTTACATTTAAGTTTCATAATCCAGTGGAAATGTGACTTTATAGTAAAGATTTAAACTGACTGTAAGAACGTAGCCCCAGTTATGTGGCAAAATGAAAACTGTCAAAATAGCTGATGTAAGGCAGTTTTAAAATTTTAGTTCTGTTAACCTTTTAGGGTTTAAAGAAACAAAGAAGCAGAAATGGGAAGTAAAACAAATGAAAGAAAACCGGTTTGTCATCAAAAAAGAAATCACAGATGTGGGCATTTGCATAAACGCTGACGGTAACTGTGAATCCACCCTGTTTGCACAACCTCGCTGTGATGTCACACGCTGGTCACTTTCTGAAGAAGGCATTTGTAAGGAAGCTGAGCGGAGGAGGGAAACCCTCAGGGCTGGTAATAGTTTCAAAGATCACACGGTGTCTTTTCTGGTTCTGAGTTGAGAAATTAAGTCTTCTTCTAACTTCCACCGTGTGACGGGATGTTGTCACACTGTGGCTGATGCAGAAAATTAATCACTGCTGACTGGTTGCAGCAGTCTGTGTTTCACTTCTGGACAGCTTGGACTCATCGGAGCAGCTTCTCCTTTTAGTCTGACTGGAAAAGGTGAAACACATCCAGGCTTATCTGACACAGAGTCCTTGAACTAAGTCACAAACTGATAAAGACCGATAATGCTTTCCTGGAAATGGGTGCATTACACATCACTGAAGAGACTATGTGTTTTATCTTTATGGGAATTTTCCTGGAGAAAATCCAAGGAGGGAAAAAAAGAAACATGATCCTACATTTTCAGTTTAAGAGACCAGAGAGACGTTTACTCTGTCTGTGGCTTATTTTAAGGTTTTATCATTTCAGAGAGAAATACTGATTTTTTTTACATATATCTGCCGAGACGGGATAAAACGTTTGTTTCAGAGGTGTGGTCTGTGATCTGCTGTATCCTGAACAGGTAACTGCATCCTAATGTTAATAAGGTCCAATCAGCCTTAATTGAATTGTGTTTAATTATACTCGAGGCCTTTATTTCCAACTCCACTCTTTTTTTCCTCAGACTGTACTAGAGTAGCTTTAATGAATCACATATTAAAATAATTCTTATTTATCCTGAATTGGATCTCGTTACAGCATCTCAGTTCATATGTTGAAAACAACCTCCATTCTTCTGAATGGCTGTCCATCACAAACAGAAGGTTTGAGCAGCTAGTGGGCGGGGCTTCTGTTCCCGGTACCGGGGGCGTTGGGGCTCAAGAGTTATGTAACCCGCCATGGCGTAGAGCCTTTTAATCAAATATCAACTTGTGTAGTATTCACAGAAACCTTTCTACAACCACCAAACACAGCGAAAACAAGCAATGATTAAAAGAGCAGTTATGTAAATGCGAAAAAACCAGAAATTCTCCAGACTTCATATAACCGGCTAAACAAAGGCTAGTTAGCTTCGAGAGCTATCACAGATTCCAAACACTAAGTTTCACCGCGCTCCGACCAAAAGTCACTGAACCAGCCGCAAAAGAAGAAACGCGTAGCAGCGCAAATTGGCTTACCTCCCAGTTTCCTCCGTTATTTTCGCAGGTAGCCGATAGCACCCTGATTATCAGCAGCTACCGCGGCTAACAAGCGCATCAGAGCCACTTCCGTCATTTTAGACCTAGCTACAGACATAAATTGGGCCCAGGTGGGGTCTGGCTTTGCAACTTCTGATTAGATGAAGTGGCATCGTTACCACGATTCTATTGGCTCAAACGGTTAAAAAGAAGTGTCAATCCGCTAAAAGAGGCTAAAAGAAGCCGGAAGTGGCAACCCCTCAGAAAGGGCCCATTGTCTGTGAATGTGTGGTTAATTCTTCAAAAATATTCAAAAAACAAGCATTTTTAGGCATGTTAATGAAATTAAATAATCTCTGCTGTTTAATACCTAAAACTTTTACTCACATATGGTGTCCAGAGTGTGTCAGGATTGGACTTGTTGTACAATGTCTGAATATTTATTTATTAAAAGTGCTGCAATTTTTCACTGTTTTACTTTAGAAGCACAAGTCTTTGCACAGATGATGTTTATATGTTGATTACTGAATTTCTGGATTAAAATGAGATCTAAAGCGTATTTTTAAAAGGGTTTTACACTAAAAACTTTTTCTGTGTTCCAGCCTGAGTAACTTTGACACAGTAACATCTGCTGCAATTTTTACACCTCTGATGAACAAGTGTAAGCTTTATTTTGATACCAAGATTGTTTACACAGTTTGTGATTGCAGAGAAATACTCCATTCATTTTGGGGATGTCATTTTCGAGCAGGAAGCCTAGAAAACAGGTTAAACTAGACTGCTTTGTTTTGTATTGTTTACTTTTTAGGTCATAGTACTTTTATGTTTTAATGCATTTATTGTTTTATTAGCTGTGCATGATCAATGTCTAGCTTTTTCTTTTAACCATCCTTGTAAACAAATTGACCTGATTTGACTGTGCGACGTGACATCAGATGTCTGATTGTTGTGTTGCATCATGGGCAAAGTTCTCATGCCAGCTAACCTGCAGTCTCCTAAAAGGGAAAGACCAGATTTTGTGTCATTTGTTTTCACAACTTCAAACAGTACAACTCGCTGTGCTGTTTCTTCACCGTGCTTGAGTTACACTGTTTCTCAGTCACTTTCTGGGAACACAATCATCAACTTTACTGCTGACAGCTGTTGTTGTGGGCTAACCTGCAGCATGTAGGGGTAAAAGGTTCATCCAGCCAGGAAAAACTGTTCAGCAAGAAGAAAAAAAGTTCACCACCAGGAATTTAAAACCCTGCAACCCCTTAAGGAGTTCCTGCTGTTTTTAGCAGAGCATCTCAAACAGTTGTGTGAAAACTTTCAGATTTATGTAAAAACTAGCAGCTAAAGACAAATGCTGCACAAAATATCAGCTGTGTTTACAACAGCAACAAATGAGACGGAGACGTGCAAATAAAGAAACACTTCAACATTTATTAATCATATAGTTCTGTGCAATAACACAATATAGAAATAATGATTTTGTAAATATTACAATTTATATACACATATTTTTATATATATTAGTTCAGATCTGTCTGCACAAAACAAAAACATTAAATACATTCAAGGTCTGAAGGCGTCAGTCATTCGAGGAACCCAGTAAGGACATGAAGATGATCCTCAAAGGCATCCGGGTCATCTCAGAGATTTGCACCTAAAATCTTCTTTTTATTTTATTTTAAATTGATTTTTTTTTTTTTAAAGTGCCTACATAAATCTCCAATGATTTACTAAATATATTGATTTCATTTAGTAAACCAATCGACTCATAACTGTAGATTGAAAGCGATTAAATATTAAATAGTTTTTCCTCCATCAGCATTGAATGAACACAGCAGAAACACTTTGAGAGAACATTTGGTTTCCAAGCACTTTGCTGTACATGAAATTAACATTTTATTTAAAAAAAACAAAATCACCATCCACGACCCGAGTGTGTGTGCTTTTAAATCAGCAGCCCGTGCGCCTCGGCCCGTTTGGACTTTAATAGAAACACTGTGCAAAAGTCTCAGACACAAATGCAGAAGTGAAAAGAAACAACACGCCACTGACTTCACAAACGAAGCCTTAATGAGCCCCGTCACTGAGGGGAAAAGGTAGACGACGTCTCCAGAAACACACTGAAAACACACACACACACACACACACACACACACACACCTTCATGTCACCGCTGTCTGGTAAAAGCCTTCCTGTTTTCACACTCTCAGGATTTCACAAGACAGCGATGATACCGCACAACACACCCCCTCCCTGTGTCACATACATTTGCTATACAATCAACGTTTATACAAACACACTATACAATCAACGTTTCAGCTATAAATGCACTTCAGTCCTCTTCATTCGGGTCTTTTTTGACCCAACAACTGGCCAATCAGAGCTTATCGTCTAAAATACCATGTGATAGGTCCTGATGCTGGTGAGCCAACCAGGAAAAGTGCGGGCAGTACAGGAGTCTGCCGTGAGCCCCTGTTTTTATGTTTTTTGAGCAGTTATCTGCAGAGTGAACACTGCACCTGTCAAAATCATAAACTACTTCTGAGTCTCTCCGTCCGTCATCATGTGTCCTTATCGTCTGAAAGTGCAACGCGGAGCTGCAGGACGTCCCCGTCATTGATCCTGTCTCTGGCATGTGGCGACTGGACCTCTTCGTAAGGCGGTGGAGGGTTGTCAGGGCTTTGGCCCGATAGGAGCGGGCAGTGGCTGCCGTCTGACTGGCTGCTCGGGGAAGACTGCTGACAGCCCGGGGCCTCCTGAGCCAGGAGGAGCTGCGTGGGCCCGGGAGCTGAGCAGGCAGGGATGCGCTGCCCCCAGCTGCCGTACACCGCCTCCTCATAGGAGGGAAGGGAAACTGGAAGCCCGTCCACCATCAGGTCCAGCTGGTCTGAGGAGCGACGGCTGCAGGGAGGAAGGAAAAGTAAGAGGTTAATGCTCAGATGACAAATGAAGTGCTCCTGACCTCTGACCTGAAACTACAGCACTGAATATAAAGTAACTAAAGTTCAGCCTGTGTTTCCAGCTCCCCACACTCAGACAAGGCAGCACGTGATGCTAACACACATTTCAGTATCAGTATTTATCAGTAACCAGAATGGATACTACTAACCCTCTTGCCTTACTACAAGGTGGAGTTGACCTAATTAAGAAGTTATTTATTATAATAATAATAAGAACATGTGGCAACAGCTTTGATAGGCTGATAACACTCAGAGTGTTTGAAGTGGTGTCTGTCCTGTACAGCTATTAGTTTATTTATATCATGTGCATATAAATACACATAAGATGTCACACCTGTAAAAATAGGTGCTCAGAAACAAATACATGGATAAAAAGTCAATAGACGTTTCTTCTTACCTTTGTGATTGACAGGGGTAGAGCCGGGACTTGAGGACCAGGCAGGCGGTGGTGGTGAGCAGGAAGATGGACACACCCACTGCAGTCGTGGCCATGCTGGGCATTGAGTCGTCGGGTTTTGGGATAGGATTGCCTGAGGAAGAAAAAGACAGACATTACAGATGCTGAAAATACCAAAACCTTCACATTTTGTTGCCTTTTCCTGACTTTGTGTGTGTGCACACTGAACATCTTGGGCCATTTTGGGTGTGGTCGCATTTATGCATGAGACCATGCATATGCAGCAGAGCCACCAGAACATTCTGCAGCAGGTTTGAACTTAACAGGATTGTTTTCAGCAGAACAGGCTTCCAAAACTAAAATCCAGGTTCTTTGAGGAGATCTGATTATTTCCAAAATTGTGCCTGAATGCCAGATGTGCATTTGGTGTTTTTGTCACCACAATAAGACAGGTAAACTGAACCTAAATGCATAACCCTGGGAAAGGTTGTGTGTTCTGAGTAGAAGCTCTGAGCAGAAATTAATTATCTATCTCAAGATCTTTGCGAGAGGAGAGATTTTCAAGCTGTGTGGTTTGTTTGTGCCCGTGACAACACGGCAGCAGCTTTCCATGAGACTGACAGCATCAGAGAGGAAATGTTTAATGGTTATTATGGTGGCTTTGCCCGCTTCCTCTTTCTGCACTTTGACTTCCTGTTGCAGCACATTCGACTGAATGGCGACAGAGGAAGTTGGAACTGGTCTGAGGAAAGTAAAGCTGCTACTTCCTCTGTAGAGTGTGTCTGTGTTCACCTCTTAAGTAGGTCATAAGATAAAGACGATAAAGCTGCTGCGTCTGCTGTTTCTGCATAATTGATGCATTTAACTTACATCGGTACTGAATTATCTACATTTTGTGTCAGTGTAGAAAACATTGGGGATGATTTTCAGGTTCATGCGCAGCCCTGTGCACAAAAACAAAACTAAAAGTCCTTTTGTTTTGCATAGTTATTCAGCAAAGCAGTGAAATGTGTATTCAGACTCTTTACTGCGGTAAAGTTAAGATTCTGAGCATCAAAATATAGTTAAAAAGTACTTAAAATAAAAGTCATTGTGCAGAATCACACATCATTGAAATGTGAAATAATATAAATTTAAAAAAAAGGAAAAGGAAGTAGAGATTTGAAGTTTCAATACAAGCCCAATAAAAGTGTACTTCAGCAGAATCTAAGAGTAAATATATCGGGTCACACTGCAGCACTGGCGGCATTGTGAGACTAAGAGTACAACAGTTCAGTGGCATTGCTGGTGGGTGTTGATTCTTGTGAATGAATAATGTGGTTTCCAGCAATAATGTAGCCACAAACATGAAAGTTTACACATTAACAGAAAACTACGACAGAGACTCGTTTCCCCCCCCCCCCCCCCCCTTGTTGTTGTTTCAGAAGTTAATGAAATGGGTGTTTTGGTAAGTGTGTGGTGTATGGGGCACCAACATGTGGCCAAAACTAAGATGTCTCTTAACACATAATGTAAATACTGTACATTTTCTAAAAGAAATCTATGCTCGTTGGTTCCATTTTATGAGCTTTCCATTATAATATTATCTTTAAAAAGATGTTGAATTTAATACATTTATATTAGTCTAGTTATAACTACCTATTCGTGAATATTGAGAAGCACAGTCATCCACAAGTGTGTTATTTAATTATTTTTAAGGGATACATCTGCAGTGGCACATGCACAGTCTCACTAGATTGTTAATGCTTAACTTAGTGTGTTATGATCATAGTTTTCTTTTATTCTGCTGAGACTTTGAGTCTTGCGGCCGTGTGATGCTGCTGTCAGTGTTTCATTGACCAAGAGCGCTGGTTTAGCTTTAACTCCTGGAGTGGTTACTGAGTCCTAGTCCGTGCTTGTGTCCAGGGTTGTTATCAGGCTGTCATCCAGTTCCTCATGAAACCAGTGTTTCTGAAACTGTGCGGTGTATGGGGCACGTGATCTCGGCTATCTGTTTTAAATATTGTAAAATCTGGGAAATTTGAGTTCATAATTTGCTGAACGCGTGGTATGCTGTATTGATTTCATGTGACTCAAGCTCTTTGAGTACTGCACACTTTAAAAAGCCACGCAAGTACAATTTGTTTCCTTAATCATTTTCAATAGTGCCATAAAGTCAGCGGCTGTAAATTAAAAGAAAAAATGTAACAGTGGCTGATACTCATTGGTATTAATGATGAGATGGAAATTAGATGAAGATGATGAGATGAAGCTTCATATTACTTTCTTCATATCGGAAATTAGCATTAACACATATTTGTATGCTGTCGACAAGTACTTGGTACACACGCCATCTACTTCCTGAATGCTTAAAACAAGAAATGAGCGGTGACTAAAATGACTAACCAGCCTTTAGACTGGCTGGGCTGACGGGGAGATGAGTCACAGGTAGATTATAAACTTAAGTAATAATCTCTAAGCAACGCTGTGATGCTCGCTACTGCTGGGAAATGTTAAGAGTTGTCTAAGAAAATCTTATTATTAAAGAAGGAAAGTTTCATATCATACGACTTCTAAACGGAGTAACTCCAGAAGCCTCAGAGGCGACTGGATGGCTCGAATCGAAACTAACAACCTGCTGACAATATGCATGAGCAAAACTCGTAAGCATGGAAACTCAAACTGGCTTATCAGCTCCATTAAACACATCTAAGAGTGTGAGTTTAATGTACCACTGCTCTTTGCACTTAACAAAACACACAAACATCAACACCACGCCCTGATCACTTTGCTGGAGCGCAAACAAAAACACAACACGCTATAACTCTGACTGGAGGCCGTCAAACTCTCACCTTTCATGGGGATGCAGGCAGATATGGGAGGACCCCACTTCCCGTTGCGGCACCTGGACAGTGGGGTCCTCATCTGGTATCCTGATTCACAGAAGAGGCGGATGGTGGTCTTGTGAGGGAAGCCTTGGCACGGGGAGGGATCGCAGCGAAAACCTCCATATTCTGGCACCAGAGGGTGAGTGCAGTTCATTTTGCCTGCAGAAAAACAAAACAGTGATGAGAAGGGGCCATGTTTCTCCAAGCACCAGACCTCCTCGACACCTCCTAAGTTAGACATTCGGCCATATCCAGCTGAGAGTAGATGGCCACTTGGGAGCATCTCAGTGCAGCTCCAGAAGAGCTGAAGGAGGTGGGTCCTGAGAGGAAGCTCTGGACATCCATTGTTAGACTACGGTCCTGTGGCCCTAGACCTGGACATTTGTTCAGGATCCATCACTGTTGCTGGATATTGTTTATGTTCTCCCTCGGCCCTCCTCCATTTTTGCAGCACTCCTCCATGTGCGTTTGTTTGCTTTTGGCTTTAAAGAACAGGATAAACATTGTGGAGGTGTTTTTCTCACTCCTTCCTTCCACCAGCTGCCATCAGCTGAAACTAAGAGAGATTTAGCTCTGTTTGGATTGAGGAGGGTTTTTTTTCCCCCCATTACATAAATATTCAGGGGGGGGGTTTATATCTCCTGTAGGCTTGCATTGCTTTAGAGTTATTTCCACAGTGTCCTTTGGTTTCACAGTGCTAGCCAATGATTTTGCAGCTTTCTGCCCCCTTTGTATTTGCACTGTTCTTAAATGTGTCATTGTGCAAACACTTGTGTGGTTCACTGAATTTATGGATAATGAAAGAGGACCTGCATGCATCCTTTGTCTGGATTTTAAATAACTAAACAAAAAAAGAAACCAAAGGGCAATAAGTCGGCCTGGAGTGCAAGTTGCTATTCCAACACACTCGAAGAAGATAAGCATGCAGGCGAGGTTTCATGGTGAGGGGTGATGGATGAAGAGTGCAACACAAGCTGTGTCCACATGAAAGCACAGCGAGGGGATATTATTACAGCAAACAAGAGCTGATATGTGGCTAAAAGGCTCCACAGAGATGTGGTTCCGTTTTTTTTTAATGATCTTTATTTACTCGCCCACAGCAGGCAGCTTTACCAGAAACCCAGCTGTGTTCCCAACTTCCTCTATTTCTTCATCTTTCACCTTAAAAACGTATGTCTGCAGAATTATGGTTTCCTCCACCTCTTCAGCGTTAACGTGCTGAGAGTAGGGCAAGTGTGAAGCTGAGAGCGCAAAATGACACCTGAATGAATAAAGTAAGACACTTTCAAGGGATTTCACTCGCCTTCTAAAAATCAAAGAAACAGATATTTAGACGCATCTGAGCCACAAAGTTGCACTGCAGTGTTACGAAACGCAGCTGGTTCCTATACGAGCTAAAGAGTGTGACAAGATGGTTCTTATTAGGACAGGAGGAGCCAGACAGCTAGTTTCAAACCTCCAAAACAGACTGAACACAGTGACCTGAAGAGAAACTGCAGACATCCTGCCTAAAGTTCATGTAGTGTTTCAAAATCAGTCATGGTAAAGGTGTCATATAAGTGTGTTTCAGTCCAAACTGCTGCAGAGGCTTTATGTGGCCTTTTCAGTGAATTAAAAAAAAATAAAAAATAAGGGTGACTTTTTGATCTTTTAGTGTTTGTGTGGCTTTAATAAATCTCTAAATTACTTTAATTAAATTTCTCTTCAGGTAAGATCAGGTGGAAATCTGAATTTCCAAATAAAGTTATCTTTTAAAAACTTTCACTAAAAAGTGGTTTCCAGTTTCACTCCTGCTGGTACACATAAGGTGAGCTGAATAAAATAGGATTATATCAGTTTATTTAACCGCTTATGCAACTCAAGCCGGGGTCGCCATGCGTCTGTGTTTGGAGCTCTTTGGTTGCAGAAGGATTGTGGGAATTGAAGCAATACAAAGACACAGGGTTTTACGACATTCGTGAGAATAATCGGCAACTCCCAACTCGTCATTTCTCAAATACCAGGGTTCCTGTTGTGAAGAGACAAGCTTTAAACCAAGCCCAGTCTTTGGGCAAAACAAAAAAAGTCCTGCAAAAACAGGACTGTGACCTGTCAGGTACCGATAGAGCTGCGGCTGGAACAACTGACGCTCAATGATGCCTTTTGCATGAAGGGGAAACACAGGAGGCGCCTGACAAAGCTGCATTATGATGTGTCAGGCTGAGGGCTCCCTGGTTCATAGAGCGCTTTGAAACAGTCCAGAATAAATGGGGCTCGGTGGAGCTCTGGCCCATCTTCTTCCATATTTTTAATCAAATTTATTGAGGCAACAGATTTACATGTCTGTGAATTTCAGGGACATCACAGCACCGTCATCAAACTGACCAATCAGCACGCTTTAGATCAAGGATGTCAAACTCACTTTACATCAAAGGCCACACACACATACCCACTTTGATCTTAAGTGGGCAGTAAAAATTCCCTTTCGGTCACGGTAAAGTGGTTTAACTGCACATTTATCTCAGCATAAGAAATGTGCAAAAGTTCTGGTTTCTCATTGCTTTTAATTATAAAGTTGAAAGTTTTGTTAATTCAAATAAAAATAATGGGAATTAGTTGTTTTTTGCTTTTGTTTGTTTTTTCTGTTTTTTTGTTTGTTTTTTGTTTAGTTGGGCAGCAGGCTGCCAATTATTTGTTGTTTTAAGGGTTGGGGTGGGAACAAGATTGAAATTTTGGAATATTCTGAAGCATTTTGTGTTATTGTATACATTGTATTGGAACCTTTGTCTAATAAAAAGACTTTTGAAAGAAAAATAATGGGAATTTTCTGTCATTTAAATGTTGATCCATCACTTCATTACTTTGGTGTAGTATGAATGTTGGGGGGGAGGTGTTTATCAGTAGGACAAGCCAAAAAAAAAAAAAAAATCTGAAAAAAAGTTAAGTCATTACGTGTTTCAATGTCCAATTCTGGTCCCTGGGCCTTATGTTTGACACCACTGCTTTAGATGAACATTTATGTGCAAAGTGAACTGGCCTGCATGCACACTACTCATAACAGTTGTGAAAACTAAACTCTGATGTGTGAAGCAGGCAGAAATAATCACTTTCTGTTTAGGTTCTTCACCCCTCGTATCTTTTGGATCATCTGAGAGCAATTTCTGTCATAAAGGGGTTAAGAGGAAGTGGCAGAGCTGACACTGGCAATCTTTTTCCCTACTTCTTCTTTCAGTCCAAAATGTAAAACCACCACGATGAGATGAATGAGCACTTTGTTAGTTCTCTAATATTCAAACACTGAATCAAAGTGTGCGTCATTTCTCTGCCATCAGCTCAGAGTTTTTGCTTGAGTTCTTTCAAAAAGGTTGAGTGGAGATTGCTGTGTGTTTTAAAAGCGACCCTGTTGGGGTCAGAGGTCGTACCTGCAATGAGGAGTGGTGAGGAGGCCAGCAGGAAGAGTCCACAGACCAGACTGACGGGTCCACACGGCCATGGAGAGAGGACTGAGGCCGACATCAAACCGGACTTCCTGGTGACACAACAGAGAGTCAGAGGAGGAGAAAGCACACACAAACATGCCAGCGGCCATCTTCACACTCTCACTCACTCACACACACACACACACACACACACACACACACACACACGGGGGTAACGGACGGTCACCAGGAAGAAGTCCCCCCACCTGCCAAAACCTTTCTGATTAAAACGACACCCGAGCTGTGAACGCAAACACCTTCACCCTGCTTTTGTCAGCTGTGAACCAGCCTGTCCGCCTTATTTTTCAGAGAACACCTACAGAGCGAGCCAGCTGTTGTCTTCATCCACACCTGTCAGCTGCTGATCACCACCACACCCTCTGCTCACCAAGTAGCTGCAGCTGCAGCGACAAAGAACCTCGCTCTGATTTTTAAGCACAAAACATAAGATTTAAAGCCCCACGTCCTCCCCTCTGTCTGCAGCATAAAACCTGCCATTTTCAGCCACATTTAACTCAGAAAGCTGCTTTTAAAATGCAGAGAAGCAACAATGATGAAGATGTTTAAGATTATAACCCACCAGGATCTTTGTCTAATGTTTGGAAGTACTGGGGAGTTTCTCCAGCCTCTGAAGGAGGTTTGAGAGCCAACGGAGTAACTGAATAATCGTGTAGCATCTGTTTGTCACTTTGTCACAAAGCAGCGTCAGCCACACGTTATATCACAGCTCTGTGTTAAAATGCCAAACAGTCACACACTTTTATTTGCTTCTACTGGAAATGCAGCAAAGTAACAGTAAAACGTGGATTTTGCTGATGATGGCTGAGCAGAAGTTTTCTGCAAAAATAATCAGATAAAAATTCGCCCACCAGCTTTTCAGACCTTCTGTTTGTGAGGTACAGCCAATCAGAAGAAAGTTTGACTGCTTGTTTCAGTCAGAGGAGGAACTGAGGATCTGCACTGATGCTCAGTACAGTTCAAATAAAGATTATTTTGGACTCAGAATCATGCAGAGCTACTCTAAAAGAGACACACACCCTACTTTATTTCACCATCTTCCCATCAAACCTTTAACCAAGACAGCACGGCCTGACTTCAACCTTTCAGGTGATCCATTCTGAAACTACCACCTCCCACTGTTTACGGTTTCAACAGTGGCCATATCGACCACCGCCGCCGTCTGACGGCGCCGATACAAAACTTTCTTCACGCCGAAACCGAAAGCAATCGCCACAGCAACCAAACCTTTATCTCCAAATCACTAACATTGCACGCACACACTTCCTGAGATAAACTGGTTCCAGACCTCTGCCGGAGCCGGAGCCCAAATGCCAGCATGTGTGAAAAGGTGCGTGTAGGTGTACTTTGCCCTCTTTCATTTGTGTTCGGTGCTTTCATGTCGACAGAGATGCCAGTCATCTCTGGAGCAGCCGGGGGAGGACCCACTGCCTCAGCGAGCCAGCCAGGCTTAGATGCGCACACACACACTACAGATTAACACACTGAAACACACACACACACACACACACATTCACACCATCTCCATCTTCTGTGACCACAACCTGTGTGGGAGGTCTGCATCTTAGTCATCATGGATCTGTGTGATATTAGAACTTGTGCTGTAATGTTTGTGAAGTTAGAAAAAGCCTGGAGGCAACAAGGCTGCCGTGACAACAGAGTGATAAAATAAAACCAGCCTCATCAGGCCTTCCTGTCTCGCTACAAAGCCCTGAAACGACAGCCAGGCTTCGCTCGGTTTGGCAAACTTTGCGTTTGAAGATGTGAAGCATCAACGCAGACTCGATCAGAATCGTTCTGGAGAGGCTTAAATGTCAGATTTCCTGCCGACTTCAGACTGCGCCGGTGCAGTCTGGGTGCTGAGGACTGGTGATATGACTGGCAGATGCTACAGGTGACTCCACACTGCAGGTGCAACAAAAATGCAGCTGCACAGTGAGAATAAGACAAAAGCAGAATAATTTCACAGAGAAAATAGTTCCTGGAGCTGGACTGTCCTCCCCCATCACCTACACCTCCCCTTCATGACTGAGGTGAAATGATTTCACCGTAACTCAGGGTGGCCACGCCTGTGTGTACACATTTCACCTTCTTTATCTCATATTAGAGTAGCATTTGCTCTTGTTTAGCTCGCTCTTTCTTGGAAATATTTTCTGGCGCACAGGACCTGATGTTTTTTCCCCCCATGTTTGCAGCCACAACATCGAGCTGTTTGGCACAAACAGAGGAAGCAGCTGGCGTGAGCACAGGTGAGAAGGGGACTGCAACCTTGAGGGAGCCTCGCGGTCTCGTACAACATGACGCAGACAGTAAAGATAAGGGGGAAAACAAAAGCGTGAGTTATGGAAGTTATCAACAGTAGTTTGTAGAAGGTGGTGCTAAGCCACATCTGAGAGCCTGGTGGATGAGTAGCCGTGAAGAAGAGTCCTCCTGTGAAAGCCTGAACTTTGCTCTTTTTGCTCCAGTGTGAACGTGAGAAACGAGCAGGCAGATGGAGGATATAACACTTAATGTCAGGGTATGATTATTACCGCTTTTAATTAAGAACTGACTCCAGTTTTTAACCACAAGTTAGAGTCAACATGTGAGCTCCATCTCAGATATCATAAGATAGCATGTGATTAAACCTGTGTTTGGGGTCAGGCTCCAAAATCCGTCTTTTCAGCTGACCATGCGGTAGGAAATTATTCCTCACTTATGTTTTGAGACAACAACAAAAAAAAAAAAGAAAGAAAAAAAACCCATCAGTGATGAAACAACAAACAAAGAAACAGAAACCTGGCCTCTGTGTACACAATGCACAGCAGCACTCTGTGGAAGTGCTGATGCTGCATTACTGAGCCGATGGCAGGGATGCAGCAAGCATGCCACCCTGCAGCTGCTGCTCCCGTGTGCACCAATATTTATTTGAGACACACGAACGCATCTCAGTGCAGGAGGGAAACAGGAATATCATGTGTGCTTCACTTAACTGAGACATAAATTAATAGAGAAAAACATGGAAAGCAGGATCATTTCGCGCTTAAACGCACCGTCAGAATTGCTGCCTGGTTTCTATATTATGTTTATAAATAGATGTATACATATGCAGGTTTTACAGTGTGTCGTGTTTTGCATGTATGTTGTATCGCTCTATATTTTTTACTGGTCTAATCGTGTGTGCCGCGGCTAAGGGAGCTGCAGATCGAGACTGAAATGTGGTGAAAGTTCAAAGCTAAATTAGCACTGGAGATCCTTCCTGATGATCTCAGATCTCTTTGTGGAAATGATTTTATCCATAAAGTGTTTCCTGTTCAGTGAGTCAGATGTAAGATACTAAAGGTCATAAAATCTGCCAGAAATTAGCCACGCACTAATATTATGGCAGTAAAACCGCTTTGGTCTGATATTACAGGTTCATTTAACCGCTCAATCAGCCAGATCTGACAGGAACTTTCATATTAGCTCATCCACCACAGTCCAGATCCTTCCTTCAGGTTTTTACAATTAACATGTTTTGACTCATACTTTCTCTCATTTTGCTATGATTTTTAGTTGATTAATGTTGAATAATGTGGAAATCGGCCCAGCTACGCCTTCAGATTGCTTCTTTTATCATTCAACAAGCAGCATAAAAACAAAGGAAAGCAGAAAATAACTCAGAACAACTCATACACTGGTTTTCCTTCATCCTGCCTCCTCAGTCCCTCAAGAGTCAAGACTCCTCGTTCACGCAAGCATAAAGAAATTAACGCATTACTGCCGGACTGCAAAAAACCTTAGCATAAATACTCTCACATAAAAATAAATATGAATGCAATATATAAATAAAACTGACTGAAAAGTACGTCCCCCATCACAAGTCCACATCTGACAGTCTTGGTGTTAATGAACGTGACTCAAAGAGCACTTTCCTCACCTCACAACCAAACAATACATCGGTAACATCACAAGTGCGCTTGAGGGTGATAACCTCATTACTCAAAGGCGTTTTTTGCTACATCTGAAGCTCGCATCATTTCCAATGTTCACGAAATGTGGCAGAGAAAAGCAGGAAAGTGCTTAAAGTCATATTTCATCTGTAGACCTACACTCTTACAGTGCAGAGCCCTGACAGCTTAAACCCATTCAAATTAACCCTTGAAGAGGCTTCAAGGACTCCTGGAAAGCCTTGAAACTAAAAGCCTGTCCTTAAAAGCTGCACAGCTCCTGTCGGATTACAGATTTCTGCGCACAAACACTGTTTGTTATGTAAAAATCTCCCCCGTTCCACCGCATCATCATCAGCATGACGGACCTGTTATTTTTAGGCCCTTCGGTCGTTTGTGAAGGAGCCGCTCTTCTGTCACCGCAACAATAATTCAATTACAGAAACCGAGCGCCCCTGCGCGATCTGCCGTGACCGCCGATGTTTGCTGTGTGTGGATCCAGCGACATCAGAAAAACACCCACACACCAGATCACAGTGGGAAGTCCTCGCTGTTCGTCTTTACACCTGCGTTATCCCGCCGTCACCGGGCAGGTAAGCGCAAAGCCCGACACCTCCTCGGTGTGAATGGAGCAATGGAAGGGAGTGAAAATGTCAAAAATAATATGAAAAAAGCTCACCTGAGGGCTGAGAGCGAGGCACGGCGGGGTGATCGTGCACCGGAGCGGCTGCAGGGCTGTCGAGGACTCCTGGTGTGCTTCCTCACCGGTTTCAGGGCGCGAACCGAGGGTCGATCAGACCTCCGCGACCAGCTGACGATCGCTGCTCCTGCACAGCAACAAGTGGGACCTTTTGGGCTGTTCTCCCCTCACTCATCGATCAGCTGTGTTTGACAGCGACACATAGGCCTCCCATTGGTTGCTGCTGCCTCCAAACACCGCCCACCTGCGCGCCTGCCGTCATATTCTGGAAACGCTCTCTTTAAGCCACAAACACACACACACACACACACACACCCTTTAACGCTTTAGTTCCTCTTAGCACAATTAGGAAAAGGAAACTGTGGCCGGTTCCAAAATAAACATATACAAAGAAACATTAAAATGAGCTGAAAAGCCGATGAAGTGACTTCCTGGAAGCACATTTAATTAAGCAGTGGGCTGAGCTGCTCGCAGTTATAATGAGCTGAGCCTGTTTAACATGTTTGTTAAACACAAAGCAGACTACAGCTCATAGTCAGGTAAGTCAAAAGCCGTGTTACTACACCCTGGGAATCATGTCAGTGATGGCAACAGATCATGGGTGTTATGGTAGTGATGTTACACAAGATACCCATGAATTTAGGCAAAAACTGTAAATCATGCTGTGTTTCACAAGAATTGAATAATCTACATGTAACAAGCAGGAAAATTCCCACTATTCTTCTATAGATGTGTTTTTTCTGTTAGCTACTAGAGGAGTCGCCCCCTGCTGGAGGCTAGACAGCTGCACGCACAGACTGTATTTAAAAGATGGACGTAGCATTCGGGTTTTGTAAGTAAAGACTTAAACCTTTTTTCTTTCAAATGTCCAGCAGAGGGCGACTTTTCTGGTTGAAAATTGACAACTCTACCTGTTCTTTGGTCTATGACTTTGGTGAGTACTTTCATGAATTTGGTGTCTCCTTCATTAGTTTCAGGTGTTATTTTATAAAACATGATATCCACATTTACAAATGTCCCTGTTTGCTTCAGCACGGAGGGATTCTTCAGGGCGGGTGATTCACGAGTGTCTGCCTCATGAACATGGGCCTAGGTGTCGCAGTTAGATCGACCTATTTCTAGTGTTTTAAAACATCAAGATGGAAACGATGACTTTCAAATTGAGTCTTTATGACGGAGCTTCACTAACCACTATGTGACATCAACACTCATACAGTCATCTATTAGTGAAACTGTGAGTAACATTAGTAAGACAAGGGCGCAGGGTCAAAACAAGCAAACCGCAGGTGAAGTGCTGGAACTTATTTGAAACCAGATGTTTTCATGATGATCAGAAACAGACAGTTTAGCCATGATTTCTCCTGCACGGGTAAAGCGGGGCTCTTTAATGACCAAATTAGACCACACTTTACAAATCCACCATCAGGTTGCTCTAAGGAGGGCTTCAAGCTAATGACTGAGGTTGTAAACCCACCAGGAAACTGTTTACTGGGGCCACAGATTACAAAAGCAGAAACTTGTCTCTAATCAGAGGAGTCGCCCCCTGCAGGTTAAAGTAACTTAATTTTTCAGGCCTCATTTTTTATAAACTGGACTTTCTTGCACACAAATGTGTGTGTGTGAACAACCACATTTCAACTGAAGAGAGGAGCAGAATGAATACAGGAAGAAAAACAAGTATAAAAAGTATCCAAATTCAGTTTTTCTTTTTACATATTTCAAAAACAACCTGGTTCCAAGTTTTAGGTAACCCATCCCAACAGGCACAGATGCACACTCATCTTGAATATAGCACAAGATCTAAACATACAAACAAGCAAACCCCTCACTTCTTCTTTCCCATCTGTCTGAGGTTCACACGCCCACAGGGACCACAAACACAGCTGTCATTGTTTGGAGGAACCCACCCTTCAGTCTCACTGTTGACAGTAAAAGCGACGAGCTGCAGCCTGCAGAACACGGTGCCGGCGGGGCGAGTTGACGGAAATACTAAAAATAAAACGGCACTGACTCCCTGCATGCTGCACAAGTGATTTTTTTATTTTATTTATCAAGGTTTCCTCTGGTGGCTGTATCAGCTCATCAGCAAACTCACAAGAAGTTTATCAGGTGTCAGATTTTGGCCTCACTGTGGCAACATCTCTGCACTAATTGCATATCATCCATGTACAACTTCCTGCTTATAAACCGATGACTGTGACTGTGGCACACTCAGCAGCTCTGAAGGCAGAAATCAGGAAAATAAAACTGCTTTTCAAATACTAGGAGAAAATCCCACACTTGACAGCAGGGAGGAAGAACTCCCTTTTCACAGGAAGTTGTTTGGATTGAAGTCTTAGTTGGACTGATTGTGAACCCTGCACCTTATGTTTGACACCACTGCTATGGACAGTGTTGGGGAGTAACGGAATACATGTACCGGTGTTACATATTTAAAATACAAAATATGAGTAACTGTATTCCGTTACAGTTACTGCTTAAATTGTGGGCGGAGCAGATGTGTTTGTATCTGAGCTGACCTGGTTTTTCTCGCTTCCTGCCTGATGGACTTCAGACTTTCTGCTCATATACGTCACCACTGATTCACTGATCCTTTCCACCGCGTGTCAATAAAACAGTTAATGCATATCTTCCTTGTGTGGACTTCCCCTTTAGTTGCAAGCTAAAGTCACTTGCAGGCACGTGCAGGGGGCTTTGGCACCAGCCCCTTTCCCTTTTTTACTTTGTTTTTTAAATTTGTGTGTGCATGTGGACTCCTGCCTGTGCCCTTCAACAATAACATTTAACTAGTAATCACATTTTTGCTAAATAAAAGGATCTGGCTTGCATCAGTCACATGATTACGATTAACCAATGCCCCAAATATCTCAAAATGCTGATTTTACAGCAGCAGAATTATTACATCTCTACAGTTTAAACATTTAATAAGCATTCTGCCTGCACAGAGTGGATAGTCAAACAAATCAACATCATAAATACATTATTTTGTCAATAAATACATTTTTATATTTATGATTTTATTTTATTTTTTAATTCTTATTACTTTATTATTATCGCACTATGAATAAATAATAAGGGAAGAATTCTGGATCACGGTTCCAAGCGCTGTCACCAATCTTTGCATTTCATTATTATCTCCTAACACCTGTTTAATCAGCTACCATCTCTCCTGTGGACTTTTTAATGTCTACATCATGTCTAGATCAACACAGGCCTGCCCTCCAGCACGATCAGCAGCAACATTGTACCCATCAGGTAAAACATAGGCTACGTTTGCTTTACATTGAAGACAGTGATGTAGTATGATGTGATTCTGGGTTGTTGTTCTTCAGCTTGGTTCTATGTGTCCCTGTAACTTCGAGCACCCGCCCCTTCAAACATCTCTGCACAGCCATGGCCACTTGTAACATATGTTTACAAACTATGAACCTATAATTAAGCCTGGAGTCTGAGAGTGAAGAGCTGCGTTAGGATAATGAGATCCTATCAGGCCTTTGAACTACTCCTCTTCGCATCTTAAACTCAAGTGGAGTGAAGGACGACTCAGGAACAGACGCGTACGTTTGTTATTGTTTAACTGCCACCACAGAGGTTAGGCACGAGAATGAGGAGCCAGCTTGACACACTAATTTAAATGTTTCAAATTCAGTTTTCAGGTAACATATGTTTAGAAATGAGAATGTAACAAAAACTTTTTTACTGTCATGTTTGCTTATTTAGGTCATCGAGACCTCAGACGTGGCCAGAAGAGCCGCAAGCTGCTGTCATAGAGGAAGGGTTAAGCTGCACTGAGCCACATACCAAAGCATGAAGACGCCATCTTTAAAATGAATTCTGGTCCGTGTCTCTGTAATAACCTCTGATCTGTAACTGGGCCAAGCTCTTTGAGTCGTGTTTGTTTTCCACCATGTAAACACATTTATGCACGACCAACATTTCAAACACACCAGGCACACGAAGAAAGGAAATAAGAAACACACAGACTCTGTGGATCTTTTACAAAAACTGTATTTGCAAAAAAGTAAAATTTGCAGAGTAAAATCTATGTTTTTACAACACCAGTGACATTTACAAAAACGGTGCAGGTAGTCGCTCGCATGTCTGACAAAACAACACATCAACAAAATCAGATATTCAACAAGTCAGTGGAAATCTGAACAGGCCGTTTGTTGTATTCCAGTCAGTTACTCGTTCGCTGTGGAAACCAGAGGAAGGTCCTGCAGGAGTTTTCCCAAGAAGCAGGAAAACTTTTAAAAACGATGCCTCAAAGAAAGGCACTGAACCCTGAACTCTGTTAACAAAATGATCCACAGGACGCCTCTGACAGATCTGTAGGAAAATTGAAAGTTAGCAGCCCTGCTTCCTGAAAAAAAAATCCTTTTGGACCGGACCTCTTCCCTGGCCCCATCAATCAATCAGATGTCTGTGAGGAATGTCAGTGAGAGCTGTCATTTTAAGCATGTTTAAATGATGAAGACCCCTCAGATATGTGAGATGAGAAGAGGATAAAGCATCATGGAAGTGTCTTTCTCCCCCCATCACCAGCGGTCCAAGCGTCAGAGTCAGTTAGTTGTCTGTCAAGTAGTGGCTGTAAATGTTAAGGCATGAAATTGCGACGTGTCTGCACACACAGCAGTACAATCTGGTCCACGGACACGTAGTTACGGCTACTTAAGCAACATCTGGCACACCAGATGAACAAGATTCACATTGATAAAGGACAGCTGATCAAACGGGGGTGATACAAAAAACAGAGCGTCTTTACAACATGACAAAAAACTGTCACCAGACTAAAAGGGACTCGATCTGACCCGGGATCAGGGCCGCTGTTTGGGACAATTAAAAAAACAAAACAAAAACTCCACACACAACAGAAAGAAAAACTTAAAAACAGCTATGAACAGACTCCTGCGCACTAACATCCAAAAACATATTTAATTTACTTGCAATGTTTCATATTAGACCTTCATCGTGGACATGTTTCTGTTCGACTCACGAACCAGACGTTTCTACTGCAAGAAAAACACGTGAAACGTTTGCAGAACAAAGTTAAAAATTACGAGACTGAAGCCGTTGGTCTCGTGCGTGCCAGTTTCTCTGTGCATCGCAGTTTTGAGGGCAGTGAAGTGACCGATTAAACCGGAAAGCACGAACTAAAGCAAATCTAGGTTAAGGTGTCAGTGAGCCACAAAATTCAAACCTCTCACAGGTGACCTGAACACGTTCTGCTCCTGGCAGCGCTCCCCGACAGCTGCCGTCTCTCACAGCTGGACACAGACTTCTTGTTGAGCTGAAGAATTTCTTTTGGTTGTGTTAAACAAACACGTTTCTCAGTGTTGGGAGAATCTTGTTCTTGCATCAATTCATTTAATCAATATTTTTAAATTAATATTTACATTTAATCTTCTTCAATACAGTTTGATGCTGATGTCGCCTCCTGCACTCGCTGGAATGAGTGCACGTGTGGAGCAGCGACTCATCCATGAAACGAGAGCGATTCTGACTGCTGCTATTGTTTTTCAGTTTTTTATCATTGATGAAAGTGTGTGAAAGGCACGATGAAGCGTGGAGGACAGGCAGGTGAGACATTTTACACAGAAAAACAGACTGGAGGAGTTAAGGAGAAGGAGAAATGAGGGCAGAAGCTACGACCGTGTGCAGCTTTTGTGGTTCAGCGGATCCACGCTTGGTCATGGGTTTTGGCTGAACAGGTGAACGAGGCTCTCCTGCTGGGGAAGCCTCCTGGATGTCCTCCCCTGTCTCTATGTGGAAGATGATAGCCTACACTGTTCTTCCAGAGAAACCCTAGGAGGCATTGGAAGAGCAAGCAAACAGCCAGGGTTTAAACCCATGACCTTCTGATGTGTTAAAAGCTGAGCCGGCCCGGTGCCTGATCCACAGAGACCCCAAAGAACTGCTGCCAGACATGCAGTCCTACTCTAAATCGTATAAAAGGTTCTATTTCCACTGGCTATCTGAAAAAAAAGCCTCCTGCCCAGACAGACCAGAGCTGCCCAGGATGAGGGACGAGGTTTAAGTGGTTTTAATGTTGGGGCTGATGTGGCTTCAAAACAAACAATTAAGAGTTGGACTCTTATTCTGCTTTTCCAGTGCCCCCAGTATGATCCAGTCATTTTAACCAGCAACTTATAACAGATTAACAAAGTTCAGCAGGAAACACAGCCAATAAAAACCCAACAAGAATCAGCGGCATTAGCAGGAGGCCAGTCTTCGTGTTAATCAGTGTGAAAACGTGCAGTTTAAAGCTGAATTTAGAGGCTGATCTGGGATCGATACACAAAACAGAGAACAGCAAAGTTCAGAGTGTTTCAATCACTAAATAAAGATTGTCATCCAGTCCGGCATTTCATTCCTCTTTTGCGCTCGGTGACTCATTACCAGCCTGCTCCACTTTTCACCACAGAACATCCAGATGATAATTTACAGCCTGGGAAGCTGCCAAGAAGACAAAGTACAAAACGCCTGCGAGACGTTTCAACTGAGCGGATGCTTCTGAAGAGGAAGGAAAAAAAAAAAAAGAGCGGCAGGGACGAGGTTTACAATTAACCTACGTTCATCCTGTGGTGGCACAAAAACATGCAGATTGAAACCCGGGCATGGAAAATATCGTAACGCACGTTTTCATGGGGTGGAAATTATTCTTTTTCCGCCTCCACTTTTATGAAAAACTGCAGGAAGGCATGGGCACATCAGTGCTGAGCGCCTGAAGCTAAAAATTCAACACATTATTATATGATCAGAGGTTAAAGCGGCTGAAAGAAAGCTTTTCCCCGAGGTTAAGGTGCCGCCTAACGGAGTCTGCATCTTCAATGTAACCACAGAAGAAAAACCGTGAAACTGTGCGGGGTGATGCTGCTCTCACTGAGAAATCCTTCAGCCTGCATCATGAAAGCAGGGTCGGTTCTGCTTTCCTTATATACTACCACATCTGTGCTGTCAGGGCAGTGGATGTTAAACCTGCAGAAATTCCAGGTTTTAGCCTGTGCCAAAGAAAACCAGGGTATCATTAACACAGGCGTACGGTTTTTGTTTATGAAATGGTCTTAAGTAAGCTGAAATCACACATTTCTACCAGTGAAGGTAACGCAGACCCTGCTGACATGTTCTCACGTGCGTAAACGCTCGTTTTAAGACTGGAAAAATCCCTGAAAACAAGGCCAAAGTTTCAAATATCGAGCAGCTGCTTCCAAACACGTTTTGGCCTCCAACCAAAGGAAAATCACCAGGGTTGTATAAGCTGTTGTTTTTGTTTGTTTTTTTTAAAGCTGGGGTTTGTTAAAGATTAGAGGACCTCATTAAGGAGTTGGACACGTCAGCATCAGTGCGGAGGCTCTACTGGTCTGCCGCCTGGACACCAGGAGCAGGTTGTCTTCTTTTATTGTTGTTATTGGCAAACAGAATAAAGGCTCACTGATGTCACATCTGATAAAAACCACAGAAGCAATCCAGTGTCAAAAACAAAGCTTTACACCTGCGTTCTTCTAAATGTCCAAAAGGGGGCAGCTACTCTGTATAGAGGTCTTTTTTGTAAAGATTTCATTTTTAGAGTCAGATGCCGATTATCCAGTTTATGCACAGTCAGACATCTTTTATATACAGTCTATCGCTAAAAAAAAGGGAAGGCGTGAATAATTTAAAACTATTTTTTCACTGAGCAGTCAAATAGTCATCCAAACTGTCACATCTGTTCCCTGTTTCTCACCCTATTAAAGTGGGACAGCCTCGAACACTGAGCTGGATAGTGAATGAAATGATTGGTTAAAAAATTATTCTTAATCAGAAGTTAGTTGGGTTACAGGGGGTGGAGCTAAAACAGCTCTTCTCAGATGGAGGATGAACTGCACCCTGTGTTATTTTGGACTTGCAAAATACTCCAGCAGTCCTGCGCAGCTGGAAAAGAGGGTGTCATTTTAACCATCTTCAAACCGCAGCTAGCTGTGCTTTGCAGAAATGATAAACAATGTTAGGAAACAATGAGCTTGAACTAAAACCTACTTCCTGCTTCGACGTGCTTCTACTCTGTGCTGCTGCTCTTTGTACAAAGCTTCAAATATGTCAGTTAGACAGCTGCTGCGTCAGCATGGTTAACAATACATTTATGTCAAGTACAGTAAATGTGCTAAAGGCCACCCAATCATACACCTCCAGGAGTGTTTCCAAAAAGCAGAAGGCACCTGTAAGTGTGCTACATGTTTCCCTGTGTCCATCAATTGGAAGTATTCTGGGTTGGCAGTTTATAAAAAGCCACCTGACCGAGTTCTGGTCGGATGTGGAGGCTGAACTGGAAGACAAAGAAGGAATGGAAACAGGCCGAGATAGGAATGCGTCTGCAGGTTGTTTATCTCCGTCTCCCTGCAGGGCGCTGGAACACAGCAGAAGCAGCTTTCCTTCCATCGTTCTAAGAACGACTGCTCACAGTCACACACTGCACAGATCTCAGATGGGTAGTTAAGTCTGAAAATGTCAGCCTGACCCCCTCAGAATCAGCTGACTGCTTTTTTTTACACCAACTTCAGTTTATGGAATGAAGCTGTGCAACATTTTACCTTCATACTTTCAGAGTTACAGCCCCTAACAGAGGCTTGCTCTTCATTAAAAGTGCAAAGTTTTGTACTCTTGATGGTCTGCGACGAAAAAAGCTTTCACAGCATGAAGGCAAAATTATGCACGGCTTCATGAAATATACTAAAGTTATTGTACATGAAGAAAAATCAGCTGATTCTGAGCAGGTCAGGCGGGAAGAACGGAAGTTTTCATGGAATGACTTCTGTTTACTGATCTTAGGATTGCCAGGGCAGAAGCATACCCCCCCCCCCCAAAAAATAAATCAAACTGAACTATTATAAGTAGTTTTCATTTATTAGTTTATATCTTTATTTATTTAAAAATTCTTCATTTAAAATCAGTTTCCTGAGTGGTCTTCCTGTTTCAGTTTGCTGTAATGTGGTTGTGTAGACAGCCCAATCCTCGGGTTACTTTGATATTTCACTGAAACTAAAGAGATCTCGATTTTTTTTTCATATTTAGGTTTTAGTTTATTTTTACCAAACTGTGATACTGTCAGTCGATTTCAGCCGCCTAAGGAGGAATTTGGGACTTGAGTCGTCATCATTTGGTAACGGTTATGATTTCTATGAGCTGCAAGAAAATTAAAAGAGGAAGGGCAGGCCGAAAAAAAAAAAAATCACATTTCCATATTCTTCTTCTACCCATCAGAGCTCTTTACCCATTTAGATTGTTTTGGTGCGAGTTGTGCAGGTTTGGAGAACATGGATTTAGAAAATTGTGGAACTAAATAGTCCTGAAAGCACAATAAGCTCAACAAAAGTGCCCTTATACAAAAACCAAGAATTTTCATGCAGGAACTATTTTCTCTCAACCAAACCACATCTGAAAGCGTATCATTCTCCAGGAGGAAGCGTAAGCGGCCCGTGTCGAGAGGCTAATGGTCGTGCACCAGCAGAGCTTGCAGGTCCACATTTACATATTGAAACTTGTACTGTTACCAGGGAGTGGTGCCAAAAAATATGGTAAACTCTGTGCTGTTGTTGCTCCAGCAGCTGACTGTTTTTAGGTGACAGAAGTCAAAATACACACCCTCTCTCTTTCTTCTCTGTCGCTAAACCGAGTGTTAAAAAGAATGAAAACTTTCCACTTTCGTCAGTTTCTTTTGGTTGCATTTCTTCCTCTTTGCGAGGAACTTTATTGCTGTTCTCTTCTCTTGCTGTGTCAGATTATCAACCAATCAGCATCTGACCCAACCCCGTTGGCTTTTTAGAGGGCCGCAAACACTCCAAAGCATGTGTGCTGGTTGAATTTGCACAGTTCCTCTCTCTGTGCAGCCAAAGAGCTGAATAAACAGACGCTGCACCACAACATTAATGTCCTCCCTCTCGGCTGAGCTGTAACGATAGCAGGCCACATGCTTCTATTCACTGGAAAAAAAACAGTTCCCCCATGAAACAAACTGTTCGTTTGAGTAACCGGGTAAAATGATGGCAAGCTCTGCAGCACTTTAATAACCATTTAGTTGAATTATATTAAAGCAAAGGCTGATATCTCCAAAACAGTACAACTCGCACCAAAATGATCCAGATGCATAAGTAGCAAAACAGTCCAGAGGAAAAATGAACAAGCCTGATTTTGGTAACCTGTCCCTTAAAGGGTAGATCTGTGCCTCAGGTCTCGTGCTTCCTTTAGTTTTTAAACATCTCTACATTATTAGCAGCTGGAAGCAGATTTTCACACGAGTGTTACATCTCCAACAGACACACTCTCCGCTGGAGCGTGAGCAGCACAGCTCATCGACAACGAAGCTGCTTTTCTTAATCATGGCTGACACTTCTGTTTGTGAGGTGGAGTAGTGTTAACATCGTCCTATAAATAAAAGCCTCTGCGTGACAGAGACCTGGTATTATCTTATTTCAGAGTGGACTCAAAGTGGCAATCAAACACGAAACGAGCAGAGGAACAATGTCAGCAGCTGGAAACTTTGGACAAAGACATGAAAGGACCACAGAATAAAAACAGCTCAGTGACGGGCCAACGAGCAGCAAGTCAGGCTCGTTTTCTAGTTTGTCGAGTGAGCGTTGAGTGTTTAAACCCTACTGTTCTAAAAACACGAGTGAAAATCAACCAAACCCAGGGGGTGACTCAGACACTCAGACCCAGGTTTAAGGGGCTGTGTGTGCTGTATGTGGTCTTTCTCTACAAAACAAAATCAAACTGGGAGTGCAGCTTCTATCTCTCATCAACAGTGCTTAAGAAAAAAAATCACCACATCTCACTCTAAAATAAACCAGGAAACACTTTACAACAACAATAAAACAATCACAAAACAGATAGTATAACATCACAAGTGATATAGCTCTCTATGTTCATTGTACTTCAGGAGAAAAAGAAGAAGAAAATTCATCTGAAACCACGACTCCAGTGTTTACTTTTTCACTTAGTGTACGTTTGCTTGTTTACGACAGGAAATTAGTGTTTTTAAGGCTACAGAATAAAGTCGGAGCCACAAGATTTCCTCTCTCAGTAGTAAGTTCTGGCTGTGATGAGGACAGTCTCCGAATGCAGGAAAAAAAAAAACGAAAGAAAGAAAATCGGCTTACAGATTGTCCAATAGTGATGTTAAAAATCAGCCAATGGGCTCTCGGCTCCTTCAAAGCATCAGACTGGTGTGCAAAACCTCACCTTCACACCTCGAATCCAGGTAAGGGCCACAGATAGGAGGAAAAAAAGATCCACAGTTCTTAATCTTTCCAATTGAGGCTCTTCAGGTAAAAGTGTTTACAGGAGGCTCCTCTGCTGCTCACACACACATGTATGAAACACACAAACACACACACTCCACCTTATTGCCTCTGTTTGTTTTATGGAATTCACTCTCGCAGTTCAGTGACTCACAGAGGATACTCCTGCACACCCTGTTTTCACGTCTCCTGTCTGTGACCTCTGAGGGTCACTCCTGTGTGTGCAGGAGTATCCTGTAACACCATCTCCAGAGTCCAGGCGTCTTAGTGGCGCGTATTATCTCACTTCATCCTGTTCTGCCGCATCAAAGGCACGATGCAGGACGGCGGCCCCCCCTTCGACAGGAACGGGTGCTTGAGAAGCTCGCTGGCGGTGGCCCTCTGAGCCGGGTCTCGCACTAACATCCGGTCCAGGAAGCTTTTGAGCAGAGGGGAGACCTGGGAGAAAAGAGACATCCAGGTGTTACTGATGCTAGAGTTAAGATTTTAATTGCTTGATGCCAAAACATCCAGCTGTTAATCTAACAACCAATCAGATGCTTCATTTAACCACATTGGTTAGTTACTCACAGTTTACTTGTTTTGTTAAAACATGAATAAAAGTTGAAGCTTGTACTTTAATGTTTACCGATTGTGTTTAGATGCTGATGAAGTTACAAGCCCCAAAGGCAGGAAAAACACTGTTACAAGCCAAAGACTCAAATATTTTAGTTCAAAAACAGTCTCAAACTGTTTTTATGTCCCTGAGAGCAGACATGCCTGATACGGTCATCTCAGGCACATGGAAGCTGCACAGAAGCAGCTTTTTTCAGACCGTGTGCACCGAGGGATCCAGAATAAATAAAAGTAGTATTATTTTGAATTGTGAATCATGTAGAGTTACTCTGGGAGTGCCCAGAATTAAAAATATCGAGAAGGAAATGAGAGTCTTAGCTCCCTTTGAACACTGCTTTTAATCTGAAAGCGTACTGCCCTGATGGATGTGATACTCTTTAGCTCGTTTTGATGCATTCTCAATCATCCAGGTAGGTAAATCTCCAGAAGTTGCTTCTGTTCATCTGGTGAGTCGTGTTTTCAGTGGGAGAAACGTTTCATCACTCATCCAAGTAACTTGGACTGACTGAAGAAGTCACTTGGATGAGTGATGAAACGTTTCTCCCACTGAAAACGCTACATCCAGGCGAACAGAAGCAACTTTTGGGGACTCTTTAGTTCAGGTGGCATCAGCACCAGGACCTGAGCCAGGCCACAGATAACTTCTGTCATTGTTGCTTGATGACACAAAGTAGAAATCAAAGTTGCAGATTACTGAACACTCCTTTCACCTTGCATGTCATTTCGCTCATGCAACATTAAAATAAGGACAAATTATAATCACACCTGTGTTAGCAGTGGCCATAAACACCACCACTCCATTCTTCCTCTTGTGGAAGCAGAAGTTCTGCTTTCATATAAAACTAAAATTTCTGTGCTTTTGATTGTGTTTCTGTCACTAAGGTGAAACTGCAACACTAAATTCTGCCAACTCAACTGTGTTTCATACAAAGGCTGGTTTTATTAAAAGCTGATCTGTCTGGTTTATTTCTGGTGTTTTCAGCTTATTGCCCTTTCTTCTGTTGCTCTACCTTGTGCAGATTCTTCAGTTTGGGTGGCAGGTTGTCTCGAATCATTTTCATGGCTTTGAGTGGCGGCTCATTGAAGTACGGTGGCTCCCCATCCACCATCTCTATGACCATGATACCCAGAGACCAGATATCCACCTGGACACAGAGAGGAGAGACCACCAGTGAGGGGTGGAGACAAAAATACAGGTTTATCCTGACAGACAACACAGCCAGAGTGTTACCTCTGGTCCGTAAGGTAATCTGGATATGAGCTCTGGTGCCATCCAGTATGGAGTTCCAACCAGAGACTTCCTTCTCTGAACTTCCTTAGACACCTGTGCACAGAAACCAAAGTCGGACAGCTTCACCTGCAGATGGAGAGGAAGGAGGAGAAGAAGACAAGAAGAAACAGGAACATTATTGTTAACATCAAACAGCTTTTCTCAAACAGACTTTACTTGAGCGAGCAGCTCGTGCTCATTTTGAGTCTCATTTGTGGGCAGTCCCCATAGCTCTTATCTTGAACGCTCTGTTGTTGCTAAACAGCTGGTTCCAGCACTTCCTGTGTCATGTTTCCCCACCTAGTGACTTGATATCATTCACTCACCCTACAGTCAGAGTGTAAGCTGTATATAAAAGATGAATGAAGTCTGATGTTCTCCACACAATCTGACCAAAGAAGGGATGATACTGAGCCAATGATGATGCCCTGGTTCATCCCTCATGTTCACTCAGTTCAATAAAAACTAACAAATAAGAGTTTACAGAGACAGAGAGCTGAGGCATGTTTTCCCCAAAACCTCTATAGAGTCAAGGTGATCCCAGCTGGGCACCTTTCATACCTGGAAGTTACAAACATCTTTTACGGTTCAGTTATGGGTCAGATAGACGCCAAAGGCTAAGACTGCAGCTACCTTCAGATTAAGATGGTGGAGTTAGTGGACTGAATTTGAAAGTGACTTTAAGCTCAGCTGATCTGAAGTTCCCCAAGTGTGTGTGTGCAATTATTCATTCATTTGTTTAGATAAGTGTGGGTGTACTTTCCTGCCTGCATGATGCACACATATACAATCTGATTCTGTGTAAAACACCACTTGGATACTAGATAATAGACTCCTGGCAACAGAGCCAGAATGGTTATCGGTTTACTGTTTCAGCCGCATAAAAATAAATATTCACACAGTTTATCTGATGAACCACACATGACCTCATGTCAGTCAGGCATCGCTGCCATCCACACCTCTTTCTGAGAACGTTTTTGCATGGCTGCACACTCAGACACTGAGCCTTGTGCTGAGTGTCTGCCACAGTGCTGGCTGCTGGGTTCAGATTACTCACAAAGAGAAATGAAACGGCCTGTTAGGAGAAGTGGTTCACACTGCACATGTGTGAACACCACCATACACAAACATGAACACGATGGTCACTGAGCTCCAGCAGACGATACAGCACAACCCAGAACAAAAACCCACTGCCTGACCTTACCGTAGGAGGATGAAACCATCACACAAATGCAGCGCTCAGAACGCAGGTGCATTCAGACGCAACGAACACTCTCGCCCCTCTGCCGAGAAACGCTTCTTGCTTGGCTGATTCTGCTTCCCCTGCCAGGCCAAACCACAAGCAGCAAGTAAAACCCAGCCCAGCACCAAAACACCACAGCTGCCAACAGGAAGCGCTCCGTGAGAGAACGAGACCACCCAGAGAACTTCAAACTACGGTTTTCAAATAAGCAGACCGCTACTTCCCCCAGAGCCTGCATGCACGTCAGTGCTTCATGTTTTATTGTAACCCGTTTAGGTTCATTCAGGGTGCTAACAGATGACACTCTGACTTGATTTTTTTAATTTACTGAAACTTTAACTACTAATACAGATACTGGAAATAAAATGACTGCATAGCTAATCGCTAGGATGGAGCAAGACATCCTCTGCTTACAACGGGGAAACAATTTATTCTGGGAAGTGTACTCCTTAGACATGCCACTTTAGACTCATGTTAACCTGAGCCATGTTTTTAACTATGAGGCTGGTTTACAGGCAATAAAACGGTGAGAATTTATTTATTTTTGGTTATACGCTTAAACTTGTTTCTTCTAAGAAGGTTGTGGGGGGTTTATACTGTTTATTATTACACTGGTAAAGAAAAATATTCGTAGAAAATCATTTAGAGGACCTGCCACCCTTCATACATTTGCAGTCTTTAGACATGTACGGAAGTTGTGCTTTCAGTTTTAGTGCTGTATGGGTGAGTATTTTATATAGTTGAGTTTCAACAGCATTCCGTATTTAGACTAATAAGATTTGTCAGATGGTGATGATGATTTGTGTGGGTGTTAAAAGTTTTGCATTCAAGTGATGTAAATTTCCTCATCAGACATTGAGCACAAGGCTGCAAGCAAACATCTGCGTGCCCACCAGTATTTTGGGACCATGAGGACTTCTCCAACAGAACTACAGCGAACCAACACAAACCCTACAGATGGACTCCAAGTCTACTTGGAAAAAAGGAGAACAGGAATGACTCATCTGTGGTGTCCATCTGTGTCAGTAAGCAAATATAATCCCTCCCTTAGAGCCCTTTTCCCTCCAAAGATGAAATTTAAATAATAATAATAATAATAATAATAATAAGCTAACACTTTGTGTTTGTAGAATCTGCAGTGTTTGAAAAAGTAGCCAACACAACATACAATAAATAAATGAAACAATCTGAAGGTCATTAGAGCTACCAAAACACTACTGGAGACATTACAATAGAAACATTTCTGCCATGTTAACGCTCGTTTACTCATTACTACTGCAGCAAACTGTGGACATAGAGTCTCACAGGAAGATTAAACAGAGCTGGCAGGTGCTTTATCTGTCTCACGACAGAGTAGACAAAGCGCTTTGGTGTCACTGCAGACAAACGCTTGGTCATGCATAGATCTGGAGGCCGAGGGGATGGCGAAACCACAGCTCATAAAGACATCAACCCACAAGCATTCATCAGATGTGATCAAGCGCAAAGTGGTTTATGCAGAAGCATCAAAGGTGTGACTTGCACAGCAAGTGCGCTCTCAGAAGAGGCTCAGCAAAGACCTCCGTCTGTGTATAATGTATACGCACTACACTGTATAAGCAGGCTTCCTCTCATTGGAATTTATTCTAATTATTAAACGTGAATTAAGAAGTGGTGGGCCAACTCGGCCCTGCAGGGCTGAAGAGTTACAGTGAAACGTGTGGTCTTGATTGCAGCTTTAACAGCTGTTACAGACAGCCTAGCATCCGTGATCTGAATCTGCACTTTCTGACTAAAGGGGTGTGAATCCAGATCAAAGATGATTATGAGGTTATGAAAAAAAGGAAAGGTGGCAAACTGCTGAGCTCCAGTTTAATAATTTACTGTATAATAAGGCAAATGGTTGTTCTGTGCTGATGAGCTATTAACTGAGATGTGAACAGAATTACAAACAAAACCACCAAACGACGATGATCACAATGCCAGGAGAAACTGCAGGTGTAACGACGCCAGAAATACACGGCAGCCGCTTCTCTACAGGAACAGCACAAAACTTTTCTAATGAGGAACTGATTTTTGGGCATTTCATCGTACACAATATAGAGCCTCGTCTTCTATGAAGAAATGTGTGTGGATTTCTGCAGAATTTTGATTTCATGATGTGATGAGAGAGCTACAACACACACAGTGAACGCATTCAGCGTCACGGTTACATCAACTTATCCTATGTGAGAAAATTCTGGCAGCAGTGATATTAAAACATTAAGTCAGCAAGACCTGCAGAGTTCTTCAGTTTTAGAGGCACAGTTCGTGTGTGTGTGTGTGTGTGTGTGTGTGTGTGTGTGTGTGTGTGTGTGTGTGTGTGTGCGCGTGCACTATGACACACCAGAGGATGAGTTCCTTTTTTTTATTGGTTTAACTGTGGTTTCATTTTCTGTAGAAAGTAGAAACTTGCTTGTCACCAGGCAGGAAGCGATTGGGCATCTGTCTCAGATGCAGTAGTGGTTAAGAGGCATCTGGTTCCTTTTTCTAGCTGCCATTTTATTTTAACTCATGCAAGAAGTGGGCTTGGTTTTGTCAGTGGCTGCAGTGCATCCTGCAGAGTTTGTGCACCTCAAGAGACTAAATTTAACTAGAAGGGATAAAGCTGCACCACTACGGGCGCATGCCATAGTCCTTTCTCACAGCAGACAGCGTGATGCGCTACAGCAGAAAACAACTCTGATAATGCTATTAATATTAGTGGTTAGTGCATTCTGCTTAAGTAATGGTTTACTGGGAAACCCCCACCCTCACATTTAAATAGAAAAGAGTCATACTTCAACTGTGCTCACTGTATAACTAGCTAATAATTAATAATTTTTAAATTAAAACTAAGAATAAAAAGAAAGGAGAGACAGCCTTTTTGTTAAAGGGAATGAAATTATTACATAAAAGTGTTTTACATGGATATGAACACAGGCCTGGGTTGAAATTTCTTCTCTTCCCTTGTTTGAAGTGTTTGAAAACTCCTCGTATTTGACATTTCAGGCTCATCTCTACTCTGAATGTCTCTACATCTGACTGTTCTGCCCTTTCTCTATATCTAGTACACTTTCAACGTGGCAGGTATACTGGTGCAGGCTGGATTAAAGGCAGTGACAAGTTTGACAGTATTTGGATGAATGTTTTCTTATATTTTACCAAAACACTTTTTCTCCGTTTGAGTGACTGCTGCCTGCTCCACTCCGTGTGCAGTACATACGCGGGCATGTTTATTTGGCTAGCTTTGACATCAAGGCTTTTTCACATCTCTTAATCATGAAGTTTAACCATCATGAGTAAGTACCAAACGCCTTCACCTCAACGTCAAGCATAAGCCCAAAGTCCTAAAAGTCTTAATCCTTAAAGAGACCTATGGAGAGGTGAGCCAGCCACAAAGCTCTACCTCATCAATTGACAGTCTCACGCTTAACGTGTTTTATTTAGTTTAAAATGGTTTCCTGTGACAGATTAATCCGACACTCAACATGCAAATGAGTAAACAAAAAAACTCCCCCCAAAAAACTGCAGCCCACAAGTTGCCCATTATGTACAGCCCCATACTGACCAGACACATTTACACAAGCACATTCAGCAGCTGTGAGCTCTTTTCTGAATAGTAAAAAAAAAAACCTGGGTTACACTTGCTAAACTGAAAGTGCACCACATTATAAAAAATTTAAAAAAAAAAACACTGTGCAAACTCCAGTAAGGGAACTGAGGGTGGGGGTGGAGAGCTCAGTGATCATAGGACCAGAGAAACAACACCCCTGTCATAGAAGGATCTGTCACTGTGACCCACATAATCGAGTGGAGGACAAGTTTTAATTCAAGCCGTCCCAGCCCCAGTAACGCTCAGGAGATCAGCGAGTTCTGTCTATCGATGGGCTCTCCTGCCCTCTGCAAGCACCGCCGAGGCATACGAGGGTCTGAGGGGAAACGAATCTCCTTTGGTGATACTTCAACGGTCATGTGCAAGTCTATATTTAGACATGCACAACATTGCGATTTATGATATTTGTGCTCTTCTTCGCATGACTAATAGAAGACGCTCGGTGATAAAAGGTCTGTTACAGTCTTTTGCTAAAAAAGTGCTTTCTCAGCAACTACGTTGTGGTCTGACATAAAACCACAAGTGTGAGGCCGTTGTTTTAAAAACAGAACTATATGATTCACCTTCCTGTGAAACTTTGACCGATCAGCTGGCTGGGGTTTCTCTTGTGTTGCTCCAACATTTAAAAAAAACTGTTCGGTTCTATGGAAAAAACATGTCAGACATTCGTACATAATTTAAAGCAGTTCTTCGTTGTTTAGGTTTTAATTTCCTCAAAATTATTTTGAAAGGTGAGTCCCTGCAAACCAGCTAACAATTGCCAATCGCAACCCCACCGGCAGGATGACCAAGTGGCATTTAGCTGCTCTCTTATTCAGTGACTCAAATCCCACATTCCTTCAGAAGACAGTTTTTGTTCTGCTCTGGAAATCCGCTGTGAGCTGAGGGTCGCTCTAACCAGAAACCAGAGCATTTGGAGAACCAGTTCACACGCTGATGTGCGGAGCTCACTGAGGCTGCAGAGCTGGGCGAGGTTATCATCGTAAAGTTCTTTTCATGAGAGGAACTGACATGAAAGTCAGCTGATTATCGCTGATATTTATTGTCACAAAGCGTATGCAGTACTATGACTTTGTCTTTTTGCATTTACAGATGCACATGCCAGAGCAATGGCAGAGAAATACAAATTAATTCTGTGGAAAATGTTGACAACATCTGAACGCTTGTTCCTTCCGGAGAAGTTTTATTGAGTGTTACGCTGCAAAACAGGAACTTAAACTGATTCTTACAGAAGTGTAGTACATACCCGTCCGTCATGAGTGAGGAGGATGGAGTCGCTCTTTATGTCTCTATGGATCACACCCTGTGTGTGAAGGACAGACAACGCCTTCAGGACGGACAGACACACTGTGGCGATCTGCTCCTCATTCATCCTGCAGACGAATAGAGACACCAGTTTTTGTGATTCAGTTCACAGTCAGGAGTGAAAAGTTCTTGAGCTACAATAATACGCATCACACAGGGTGTCTACATGTAAACACAAATGCAATTTAAGACTTCAAGACCTCTTTTAGTACAAACTTAAGATATTAAAGCTAAAACACAGTCAGTTCCAAATAACATGAAATTAAATTATCTGATTAAATTTAAGAAAATTGACAAAATTAGCAAACAAATCATTGTTTACTTAAACAACATCACATTTTCTGACCTCCAACAATCAGCACAGTTTGTTAGCATTTTCACAAGTGGGGCTTAAACCCTATTCACTATTCTCTGGTCATATGTTAATAAATTTGAATGTTCCTACTTCTGTAAACTAACGAGCAAATTGGCTTCCTCTTCATCGTCATCATTTCTATCAGTGTACTGCAAGTCTCCAGGCCTAAAATAACCACCTGCCTGGGCAAGATTTCAGTGACTTTGGTAAATAAGACCTAGAACTGTTTCATTAGCTCATGCAGGTTATCGGTCTTTTACCGTTAAACATTTCCGTATATAAAAACAGCAAGATGAGGGTGGTGAAACTAGCACATCCATCATGATGTATTACCTAAATGTTTTCAGAGGGACAGAAATTATTATGTGACATGACTAAAATATTCCCATCACACCAATCCAAATTTACTTTATGACATTTATAGAAAAAAAAAAGCCCCCTATGCGTTTTAGACTTAGATGATTCAGTCTGCCAAACACTCTCACTCCTGTTGCGTGGAAAACAATGTAAAATGACACAGACATAGATGTAATGCAGTACGTTTCTGTGCTGAATAGATAGGAGACAGCGCCCCCTTATGGCGGAAATCATATCTGGTGAACAAACAGCTTAATAAGGGGCAGACTTAAATGGCTTAAAGCATATGAAAAAGGAATATAATGGGTACAATGACTAAAGTATTTTGGTTTCCTTCAACTAGCAAACATTGCAAAAAAACAAATCTATACAGTAAAAAAATTGGAACTAATTTTCTCCTCCTTAAATTCCAGCATTCAGTCCTCATTAGCTTGAACACTGGAGCTAAGCTAACAGAAACTAGCTGACATCACCTTTTTTCTTGCTTTACTTCACCGCCTTACAGCTAAAGTTTGTATTCATTTTGAGACTTTATTAAATCACTCATAAAGCCTTGAACGGCCTCGCTACTGGTCATACAGCAAACATGGAGATCAACATGTGCACACATGCTTGCATCAGTGTCAGATACTTAGATAGGCTCTATGTTTATTCACTGCATATGCATAAATTAAGGTTTAGTGTGTGTATATATTGGTAATTAATATCACTATTGCAGCTGGGAGAACTCAGTAAACCCTGAAATGGCTCAGTGATTAGAAAAATGAATAGACAGGTGGATTTTTACTCTTATTATTGTTATTATTATAGCCATTTAATACTGCGAGGTGCTGCATAAATGACTGATGTATAAAGTTTCTCTCTCACCTTGTGTGTGTCACGATGTCAGTGAGCGCTCCTCCCTCCATGAACTCCATGACGACCCAGAGCTCATCCCCCACCAGGTAGCTGTTATACATCTCCACCACGTTCTCATGGTGATAGTCCCGCATGATCACCACCTGCAGTTACCACACAGAGAGGAAGGATCATCACATTACTTTGATCGCACTGAAGCCCTGCCTCGTCACTCATGAAGGGAGTCCAGTGTTTAAAATCCAAGGCGGAAATCTGCAACTGAGGTGAAGACGAGATGGAGCGTGAACCCCACAACGCTTCAGGCGGCAGCGCAGGCTGCTGAGATGTGTCTAAAGGCGACTTCTTACTTACTGTATTGGTTTTATCTTGACTCGAGTGTGGGGAGAGATTTCACGCATTTCCTACCACTCTGATGTATTAACATAAAAATCTGTGTTTGGAAAAATGCGCTGGTGTCAGGAAAGCATCAAATATTATTTTTAGATTTGAGACTATTAAAAAAAACAGATCTGTATGAACAGAGAAAGATCTCGTCTCCTCTCTGGTTCAGCCAGCTTTCTGAATGCCTCTGAAATACAAACGCAACATTTGTATTGACAATGTTTTACCGTGCTGATTAAACTGGGTTAAATTTTGATTGTTTATTGTGTTAAAAACATATCAAACTTCATAAATTTTAAATATACAAAAACATAATTGAATCTGACTGAGGATGCATTTTGGTTTTATTTAGATTTAACACAGTGTCCTAACTTTTCTTGGTTTGTACGTTTACCATGGACCCTTTTCAAAATAAAAGCCACCTAAAACCTCATACACTGCCTTGTGTAAATTTTTAAAAGTATATCAATTACAGATCTCCAGAGATCAGTGACCTCACAGCTGGTTAAGGCAATGGCCATCAGTGCAGTAAAAAGTGCAGAGCAAACGAGCCAACTGGAATAACCAAACGCTCTACATTCCCTACTTCTGTGTACTTTTTGCCATAATCTGGCATGTTAACTCTGACCTTTTTAAGTTGCCAAACAGATCTTTTACCTCGTTGAAGAGGAGTTCTCTGCGCTGTTGTTTCCTCAGGTCCATCTTCTTCACGGCGACCAGTTTTCCTGTGGTTTTCATCGTAGCGATACACACAATCCCTGTGGAGCCCTCACCGATCTTAATGTAGTGATCCAAGTAGGTCCGCGGATCGCCCGGATCGACCACCATCTGCAGTGCCGCCCTGAACTGCTCATGGGAAACTCTCTGGGGTTCCCTCTGTGGTGAGCGGCCCTGAGGAGGAGCACCCGATGCAGCGGGCCCAGAGGGTACAGGGGGTCGTGGGGCTGGAACGTTGGGGTGAGGGGTGTGCGGGAGCTGGGAGGACTCGGGGGCCAGGATGGGGTGCGAAGAGTGATGAGGGTGTGGGTGGCTTATAGGGGGTTTGGAGCCAGAGGAACCTCGGACGGAGCCGCTAGAGGGGCCGTTCTGAGGTGAGGACTCATGGTGTCGACCCACCTGGAAAAGAGAGCCAAACTTAAGCACAAACTTAAATCTAAATGAAGCTTTTCTGTCACAACATCTTCCAACATCTCGTGAGGTGCACGAGTGTCAGGATTATTATGGAGCTATGGTAACCGTCACAAAGAAAGCAGCTAAATCTGATCTGGAGATCTGCCAGCAGGCTCAGTTTAGACACGTCTGTGATTTTATCACTGGTTCCCTGAGGGTTCCCACCCCTACCTGTCCAGTGGGGCTGCGCCCGCCATCGCTCTCTGTCCGCGGGTATGTGTTAAACGGCCGAGTGGCTTGTTGAGCAGTTTTCATCACTCCCTCAGACATTGGCAGATTTGGGGTGCGTATGTTGGGTCCTGAGAGAGGCCTCTTGTCTCTGGGAGACTGAGGACTGCTGTCCCGTGCCACATAGCTGGACTTTGGCCTGTGGTCACCAGGCTGATCCCGCTGAGCCCCATGATCCTGAGGAGCGGGAAAAATCCAGAGAAAGTAAATTAATGGGAAGTACTCACGGAGAGACCGACAGAGAGGAGGTGCTTGTACTGCCTGTTACGCTTTTATTTTCTGTAATATTTAATATAAATGGTGAATGGAATTGCACTTACATAGTGCTTCTCTACTCTGAGCACTTTGTACTACAAGCCTCATTCACCCACTCACACACATTCATACAGCGTTTAATTCTGTGGCTAAGCAACTTCTATAAGAATCACTATTTTGCGAGAATGTGTGGGCTAAAGGAGCAAGGGGTCAAACTGAACCACAACCGACCTTTTGTTATAATGTTCATGTCAAACATGCCCAAATTTCCAATCATGTTATCAGTGTGAAGCAAAAGGCTTCAGATTACTCAGTTTCAACATTTTTCCCCCTAATTTTGGATAAATGTGATGACGCCTTCTGTTTGTGAGGGGGGAGTCAATCAGAAGAAAACTGGGCAAGAACTGAGCATCAAACAGCCTTAAAAATAATAATACAGCTGTGAATGTGAATCTAGGTTCTTCCGTGTCTACCTGGTCTCTGTCCCGAGGCCGTCTGTCTCTGTGAGGGGGAGGAGGGGGGCCTTGTCTGTCCCTCTGGGCTCTGTTGGGCTCTTGACCCCGGGGCTGCTGTTGGGGGCGGCCCTGGATCACCTCATCTGTCTGAGGAGGACGGACTCCGCGCTGACCTTGGTGGCCGGGGTCACCTCCGCTCTGCTGGTCTTGTCTGAGTCGGTCTCTGAAAATCACATCGACACAAATGTAAATACAGAACAGATTTATAATAACTTTATATTATTTCATTAATTTGCATTTCTCTTTTATTTTGCATTTTATTTATTTTCAAGTTGTTTCCAGTTGAGTTTTTACTGTTTGAAAATGTTGAGTTTTAGTATTTTTACTTATTACAGTTTATTATAGAGGGTGTTTGTCAGTTCAAAATAGATTTTATGATATAAACATAGCTTGCAGTGAAGACAGAAGACTCACAGTCATGTTGACATGCCAAATCTGAATGAACAAAAGGACTGAAGCCTCATTAGGCAGGTTGTGTCAAGAAGAACGAAAGCAAAGACATTTCCCGTACAGTTTTCTTTCTGTTTAATTATTTTTTGTAAACGGAGGTCATTTCAGTTAAGTGAAAAAAAACTATAAAGGGGTGTGGTATACATTTTAGTTATCCCACCAACAAAGATGGAAAAGCAATTATCCGAAAGAAGATCTTGCACTTAAATAAAATACAAAAATAAAATAACACAAAATAAAAAAACACAGAGAATATCTTTATTTTTTTCCTTTGCTGCAGATGTTTATTGAGACTGGGATGTCCACATGACTGTGCTGACAACCTGAAAAAATGCCACGTAATAAAACAAAACAAAAGATAAACAAACAGAGTAATCAAAAACTGAAACTTAACACAAAAACTACTTAAAATATAAAAGAACATTTATGGTAAGTACACAATATCATTTCAGTATAGTTTAGATTTCATGACAATTTACTAAGTTTCTTCACTCCTACTTAAGTAATCCAATACTCATGAGTAAGCTTTTTTTAGCTGGTCCTGAAAACATTTGGTGTGTAGGGAGTAATGGTGCCTTCCAGAGGAAGTCAGAATTGAAACACGCCCTTATCTCAGCCTCATCAACCAGAGTTAACAATCCAAAATGGTGGCAGTGAACGTAAACAGTATTAAAATATGCTAAACTTGTAATCTGTACTGCCACTGTTGTGCATTTGTGACTCACTAAATAAGCTATGGATAGTCCAGAGATTAGGATGCATCCATGAACGTGCTGCAGTGGTGTTTTGTTTTATGCTGTATTGGTAGCAATGGACGAATTGCTCTACCTTGCTAAGAAGCAAAACAAACCCTGCTTTTCCATTTTTTCGCACTCAACAGTTCCGGCATCCAACGTCCGAGGAATCTGGAACGAGGCAAATGTGCACGATTATCACTCCACGGGGAGCTGTAGTTCATCGTCTCACCTGTCTTGTCTGTCTGAGTAGTGTCTGTGTTGAGGATCTCCGTTCTCCTGCCCTCCACCTCCTCCTGAAGAGCTCGAGTCCCTGCGAGGGTGTGTTGGAGGACTCCCTCGCCGCAGGGAGTTGGAGCGAGTCACGGACATGGTGTCGAACTCATCCAGCAGCCATGTTAGAGACTCTGTTCCCATCCTGCTGCCGCGTACGATGGTCTGGAGATTTAAAAAAAAAAAAAGGAGGATGCATTACAATCTGTAAAGTTAGCAGGTTACAGGGCTGGCAGCGTGTGTTGTTTTTGTATAAAAATGACTGAAAACTACAATCACGAGAATATTTTAGATCGTCTATCACTAAAGAATCAGTATGATAAACTCAATCTCTGATTTTCGCTCACCTTTCGCGGTTCTACAGTAGTGATGATGGTCGCGTCGATAAAGGGTTTGGGCCTCTGCGCCGTGTCTTCGATGAGTGACTGCCATTGCCGCGGCAGCCCGACAAACTTCTGCTCCTGCTCGTCAAAGTCCGTGTGCACACGGTGCTCAAAGTTGGACGGAGCTGAGATCTGGATACGAGACTTCTTCTTTTTGGCAAACATGATGGCAGCTGTGGTCGAGCATCAGACCTGTGTGGAGGAAGGTGGAAAGGGATGAAGGCTAACAGAAAGTAACAGTAAGGAGAAAATGCAAATGTAAAACTCCCAAGTAAAATATGTAAAACACACATGCATGCTCACAGGCAGTGACGCTTGAAAACAACTGCTGTCAAGCTTTGAAAGTCACATCTCATTTAAGGGTTTTAGAGGCTGTGGATGAAGTCTTCTCAATGAATCACTTTCTAAAAGTCTCAATTTTCTTGTCATGGTTTTAAAATGCCTCGGGTTTAATTTGCATCGTATGTTTGATTAAGCTCCTTTTATCATGTGTTCTGTTTTACCTGTTCTTTAAACACTCAGTTATACCATTTGTTTATTTTAAGTTTTCTTTTTTCATTTATCATATTTAAAGCGCTTCTCTCTCTCCCCCATGTGGCTCTCTGTTTTATGATGAACCTGATCAAGTCCACAAACTGAAACCGGTCAGTCAAATAAAGGTGTTCTACACAGTAAGAATTGCTGGAGCTTCAAGCTCGGCAGAAGTAAACTCAAATATCAAACAGTTTCAAGAAATCTGCAGGTGATAACCGGGTGTTTCCTACCAATGTTACTATTAAGACAAAGCAAAAGTACTTTCAGTCAACTCTGAGAGCCCTCGTGCTTTTTTCTTAGCAGATATTTTTATTCGTAAAAAAGTATTTAAATCTTTGCTTTGCTTGTCAGTGTAAATTTGTGTGTTTTTGGAGAGACAGACTCAATTCGTTTTTAAAAACACGATTAGGCTGAAACAAACATACTAATCGAGTCATCTTTTGTTGTACTGCTTTGGCCTCTCGCAGACGTTAATCGAGAGTCAAATGATTCAAAATCCTGTTTCTTTTTAACCATTAATCAAATGTGATTTTTGGCCAGTTTTGGCAGCACTCGCGGCGTGTCACGTACATACTCTGTAGTGAGTCATTAACAGCTCACATTTTGCCAGATAAAACAGACAAATACACGATTCTGCACTTATCACTTAAAAATAATTGTGATTTCAACTTATCACCGTGTGCAAGTGGGAGGATGTCTCAGAACGCCCTTTATCTCATCCTGCAACATTTTCCTTTGAGGACTCATATTAGATGGCCATAAGACGACGAAATAAAGAAGTGGTTTTAATATTTTCGATATTTAACTTGTTGGAAGGACTGTGAGGCCCGACTCAGGATTGACACTCGCTTTTTACTTCAGCTGAGGGTTCTGCCATCCTGCTCCCAGAAAAAGCCTCCACGTGTCCCTGATACTTGACAACATGAGCACAGGCCCACGTGAGGCTCAACAGATCGTGCAAGTGGAAAAAAAGCCATGTAATAAACTGGCAGTCTGTCCCGCCAATGATGTTTTCTCATGTTTGACAGATGTCCACACTTAGCTAGTGACCTTAATAAAATCACCTGCTGTTGTGGTTGACTGAAACAAAAACCAGCATATGTTAGAAAACAGCAGTCTGGATCCAGTATGAAAAGAGCCACTCCCTGTAGTCAAGCAGGGGAATCAGGTAAAGCAGGTGACTGACAGGTGAGGTGGAGCGGCGTGCTCATTACATATTTAAAAAAGTCAAATCTGAAAAGTTCCCACCTCAGCGAAATCACCTGATGATTTTTTTTGATGTACTTAATGAAGCGGTGCAAAAAATGTTAAAATCACAGTAAATGTTTTATGAACTACACAGATGTGCTGAACCAAATCAATTTTATACCCACTCCAAATATCACAATCTAAAAGGCTAAATCTTATTTTCTTCTGTGTGATTTTTGTTTCTGCGAACAACATTCAGCATCAGTCGTTGTGATTTGCTGCAAACGATCCTCTGCTTGCATATAAAGACAGAAGGTAGAGCCTGATGGGTCCCTCTCAGCACTGGCATTACTCCTCACTGTCTTTTGCAGTTCTGGTTATTCATTATTAGTCGTGTTCATTATTAGTTTAGTTGAACAGTTTAAGTGATAGGGAAAAGTCTGAATCCAACAACAATCCAACAACCATCATTGTGTGGCTGGTTTGTGTACCATCACCACTCCGAGAGTCTATGACTAAGAAAAAATTCAGTTGTAGTATATTTATAGTAGGACAGTAAAATCTTACACGGCTTCATTGCACAAGAAGGATTCTGAGGATGTAATGACTCAGCTGGCTTGTTAAAAACAGCTGCTTTCTACAAAATACTGTGCCCATTCGCTCCATTTGCTCACGAAAAGAACAAAAAACAGGAGAAAGTCGAAAACAAAGTGATGAAAAAAATGCTGGGATGTAAGGATGGGGGGGATAGAGGGCGTGATGAGGCAATTCAGAGGGCGATCTGGGCGGGTCACAAGTTAACAGAGCATGAGTCATGTTGCTGAGCTCACAGGCTGCTGTGGTAATAAAGTCTTTCACAGCAGGAGCGTTTGAAGTGAAGTGAGACCCGCCTAGAAACACACTGAGAAATGAGAGGTTCAGAGCCAACGACGCAGCACAGACAGAGGACATCAGTACAGAAAAATAAATCAGGATCAACGTCGGCAAAGAAAAAACTAACTGTACCTACAAGTACTCTAAGCATTTTAATGAGCACACAAAATGAAAATAGAAATAATCAAGAACTAAAGGAAAACCCAAGGACTAAAAAAAAAAAAGTACTCCAGTCAAATCTTAAAACCTCACTCGATTTGCCAGATGTGCGAAAGCAGCCGATGAATGGCGCAGGCAAATGTTAAATGATGGATCAAAGTAGAAATGCTCATGATCTTCAAATGTTCAATCATTAAGTTGATTGAACATTTATTTCTTGTTGACTGTTCCCTGTGTGCCGGGGATGAGCGGGTGCTGTAAACACAGGAGGTTCAGGTATCTCAGCATCATATTCACAACTGATGGGAAGATGGAGTGTGAGAAACCGGTGCAGCTTCCTCTTGGTCCTGTTGTTACTACAATATTTTATTAATAAATACCTTTTATTTTACCTACTTACGAAAATAAATTTTAACCTTAGCTTGATGCTTCCTTACACCCTAGGGAAAGACTCACAGTCTCTTCCTCCTAGTGAGGAAGAAAGTTTATTAATTCAACATTAACACTGGATCAGAAGTCAGTACCAGCAGATAATCAAAACCAAGGTATTGGTATCACATTTCAACTGGAAAAAGTCATGAGCTCCATTTAGTTACCCAAAAACGAGTCTGCTGGGTTAATCCTCAGAGATCGGGTGAGGAGCTCGCAGTAGAGACACTGCTCCTTTGTGTCAGAAGAAACAAGCTAACGAGGTCCCGGGGAGGTCTAACTAGGAGAGACCCTGAGGTAAATCCCAAACTTGCTGAAGAGATTATATATCATCTGGACTGGAAGCACAGCTATAAAGGAACTGGAAACTATTGTCCGTTTCCCCCTCCCTTCGACACCTGCAGAATAACCTCTAGGATATCTGTCAAGAACAGCATGATACTAGCTACCAGAGGTCAGACAAGTGAAGCAGGAAACAAGAGAAACATGAAAGACAAGAGATGATTACAACCATCAAAAAGCCATGTATGCAACTCATGACAAATATAAACTTCAATGAATTTGAGTGGGAACTCCGAGCAAGCTTGCCTCCACCAGTGTGTGAATGTGAGAGTGAATGAATAGTGGAATTGTAAAGCGCTTTGAGGGCCCCGAAAAGTGCTATATAAATGCAATCCATTACTATCATTATTATTAAGTCACAAGTCTATGACAAGTATGCAGTTATTTAAGAGAGGTTGAGGTAGGTGAATTCCCAACACAGTCAGATGGGATGCAGCAGATCTTAAAGCCGACAGCTCCTCACATGTGGTGCATATGAGAACGGTTAGTAAACGAGCGTCATGTGTTTTGGCTCCCTTGCACTCTATCCAGGAAGCTTCCCCTTAAAACAAACCAAGTATTTCCAGTAATATGAACGTGTCTGAAAAAGGCTATTTCCTCTTGATAGGATAAAAAATCTAATGAAATGAATGGTAGACAGATCAGCTGTGATTTATATATGCAAAGCTGTTCTCTCAGTTTTCTAAACAGGATTATCAAAGACAGATTCCATTGGAAAAGAGATGAACTAAGATGAAAACAGAAAGAGATACAGACTCATTACCAGTTCATACTGTAAATAAGAACCAAGCTTTAGAGAAAAGTAAAAAAAAAAAATTATTTAAATTAAACTCTGTTCTGTATTTCTATGAAATAATTTTCAGTGCTCAGTGAAATCTCACAAATAATCAAATAATTTAAGTTTTTCTATATTTAGTCAATATTTCCTTGCTTTAAATTCAAGTATTTTTCCTTCATCATCTCTTATATCAACAACCATTGAAGTTACAGGACAACTATAAAAATGTAAACTGTAAAGAGAGATCCATTTTCAAAGGTCATTAACCTATTTTTTTTTATTCTCTTCTACGAATTTTAGTGACATCTGTACAAGAAGCGCTTGTTATGTTTATGTCTCTGTATGAATGACTGGAGAAGGTCAGGAGGAATTAGATTAGAAGTCTGTCGCTATCACCATTTCCAAACGCTGATTCAGTTCCTAAAAGTAAACAAATACAAAATGGTCCAAATTTCTTCAGCTGCAATAAAATGATCACTTCAGGAGTTAGTGATGTTGGACTAGCTAACTACAGAGCTGTGGTTAGGCTAATATCAACACATCAGAACAGGAAAGTGGGATGAGGGTTAAACTGTCCTCAATAAAAGTTCCTGTTGAGGGTCCCTGATGGACAAATGCTGTCATTAATATGTTGCTGTGTGGTTTGTTTTACTCGGAAGCTTATTGTCCACACTGAAAACTGTGAGACCTACTACGCATGAATACTGATCACAAAACTTTTGAGGGGCCGAGTAACAGTTTTTGAGAGCTCGCCTCTGTTCAAATAACATGACATGAAGAACTGCAGAACCTTAAAATACGAGAAACAGAGTCAACAAGTCAGCATTTCACAAGCAGACAGGGAAAGCTAACACTGGTGCTAATGCTAATAATGCTAAAAAACAAACAA